CAATACTGTTTATCACACCCTCATGTAAGCTTGTGCATGCTTATGTGTTAATACCCGTGCTTTCATTTGTTTTGGACGTGAGCTGTTGACATGTACGGTTAGCCGAGTTGTTAGCTGAGATGTGTGGAGCACTTAAAAGTGAATGAAATGTAAATAGAATTTGATTCTGTGTATGACAAGGTTGCATTTGTAATGCGACTGAAGCTGAGAATGTCTTATTCTACAGTTATTAATGGCCTAACGGTTTGAATACACTGGCATGCATCAACTCACACATTTAAACATTCACATATGCACGCTAACAACCCCTTAAGTGACGATTCACTCGTTTTTCTTACCTTTTTGAGTGCCGATATACTGCATTGAATCATTTTGTTTATACAACTGTAAATAAAATTTACTGATAATGTTGACATCAAGCAAAACTTTTGACTAATCGTTTTAAGTCTCTCAATTACTCACACTAGTATCTAAACTGAATTTTTAAAAACTGATACGTTTTTAGAATCAACAAAGGTAAAAGAATATTGAAAAATATCTTAATATTATAATCCTACAAAAATAAGTGGCGGTCTCTGCTCATTGACATTGAAGGTGGTTTCTGCACAATACACAAACTGACCAGATCGGCTCAAATAAATTACACTAAAAGGTGAAACTGACCTTATTGTTTTAAGTGAAGTAAACTGCTTTAATGTTTAGATATGCTTAGATTGTTAATTTGGTTAAAAAAAATGGGGCAGGTGTTGGTGATAGTCCACAGATATCATCATGTTTCTACCATCATTACTCCACTGAGTATCTACTAACAATGGCCTTTGTTGAAACTTTGGCTCTCCGTTTATATAGCCTCCAGACCCTTGTGCTACGCAACTGGTCTGTCACCAAATGAATCCATTGTGTGCTAGTGCAGTACATGCTCACACAAGTTTTTAGCAGCATAAAACAAGACTGTTAACTTAATTCTTTCATCCATCAATGACAAACCTGCTTCTCAGATCTAATCTCCAATCAGAACAGAAAATTAATTAAAAACTCATCAACAGTCCAGCTTGATTGGAAAGTCAAACAGTTTTTGATTGATTTAAGTAACAATATCTTTAAAAAAAAAAGATTAAAATAGAGTTTTGGTCAGACCTTTAGGCACATTGATAGTTTAGTGACACCTAAAACTCAAACTTCCCAAAGTCAATGCTCAAACTGCAAGATGACTTTATTTCCATGTTAAAATTCAATTTAATCTCACTTGTGTGATTTGATTTACACAAGTAAATATAGCAATGTTAAACCATTTTATATATTGATTTATCATTTTAGCTTAACATCTCTTTATATGTATCTAGTCAAGATCTGACCAATTCAGCAGAAAGCTGCAAAGTGCCAAATTCAATCCCCTAATAATCTGTTGAACATGTTTTCACCTCTGAAGAACTCAAAATAATCACTAAAAGAGATAATACTGAACTTTCATTCATTAGACTGTATTTGTATGCAAATTCTGAAAAGAAATTTTGGTTTGCAAAAATCTGTCACTATGTATATTGTTAGTGCAGAGAGCAGAGAGACAACATTTATCCGAGACTGTAGTTGCCAACATGCTTAATGCATAAAATTGACCATGGAAAACATAATAAACTGTGAACAGAAAGGAAATCAAAGACCCATGGGATACATTTCACAGAAGTGCAAGTGTATCTAATACTTGGAAATTGATGCACCCATTTGGTCACTGTAAAGAATAAAAACAAGTTACAGTTGTCTAATGAAATGTGTTAATGAATAGAAGAAACACACATTTACATGTTAGATGTGTAAATCAAACTGAAATGTATTATGAAATAAAGTAAAACAGAATGATATAATCACCATGATTTTATAGTGAAAAACAAGCACTGATGTGTTTGTTTAGTAGAAAAATATGTCACAAAACTGCAATTTTACGTGGAACAAAATATATCAGTTGTTTAATAACATGAAACCTTTAACATTGCAACTTGAATTAACACAGCACCAACACGGTCGATGTCACTTTCAAGTTAAACTAAAATCAAATTAGGTGTGACACTAACTAAATCACACCTGTCAGTGTCAATTAATGACACACCTTAGAGGCAGAATTTGTAAGGTGTCAAAGCGGCAAATAGCCAATGAAATCCCATAAGGGTGTAGACAGAAACATATAGGAAACAAGAACAGGCAAAAGCAGAGACTTAGGATTTTAGAACACTGCCAAGTCAGAAATTTAAAAAAAGAAGAAAAGGTAGGAAAAAAGAGGAGTGAACTTGTGTTGGGGGCTGGAACTTCCTGTGTGGGCCTTCCTGTGGTTAAAACACCTGCACACACCTGTGTGTCAGTTTGGCAGACAAAGGAAGAGACCCGCTCCCTGCAAAGCAAGTTTAGCTCATGGTCCAGTCACCAGATACACAACTGGTAAACAGGAAATTGTCACGAAGGTGCCCTGGTGGAGGGGTTTTTCGTATCGTCTTTTGCTAGTCTCGTCATTTCCTGTTTTACTTTGAAGAATAACCCTCATCTCGTTTCAGGTCACTTGCACTTCCTGTTGTGTCACCAGTCTGAGCGTCTCCCTGATTACCCATTGTCTGCACCTGGGCATCCCTTCCCTCTCGTGTTCAAATAGTCCTCGTCTCCCCTTGTCCTGTGCCAGTGTGTTTCGTTCCCAACCACAGAGCCTGTCTTGTCCTTAGCCCTCGTCACAGTCATAGCCCTTGTTCCTTGCCTTCTGAGCCCCTTAGTTTTTGCCTCTGCCACGAGTGCGTCTTTTTCCTCCTAGAAGTAACATTCCTAGTGAGTATTTCTGTTGCTACTTTTGTTTCCTGTCCAGCCTCCTTAGTGAGAGATTTACGTTGTTACTTTTCAGCTTTGTTTTGTAACTTTTTCCCGGCCTCGGTTCGAGTGCTTTTTCTGTTAATACTTTGTCCTCCGTTACGGAGCGCTTTGTGTTTGTGTTTTGCCCTCTCATTCGAGAGCGCCCTCTGTTAATAAATTTTGTATTTTTGAACCCACTCTGCGCCTGAGTCCTCCTGCGTCCACGGCCGCGACAGAAATTAAGTTAGTTATCAAGATATTGTTTATTAAAAGGTAGAAATTGAGTTGGAAGATATTGTAGTATGGTTTGTGGCCTGGTAATGTTAATTTTATATTGTGTTTATGGTTGAGCCACAGCGAAAATGATTAATTTAACAATGTTTGTTTGAACTAATTTAACTTCTGTTTGTTAATTTATTTTTGAAAGGTTTTCAACCTAATCCTAATTCCAATCCTAAATCCTTCGAAAAATCTGATCATGAATATCAGTAAATAAACACAATGGAAAAGGATTTGAATTGTGCCTTGCGTCCTTTTTGATGATGACCAGCTGTTTGTCAAGTTTGGGCAGGAGCTGAAACTAGAAACCACACATAACTTGACAAACACAAAGCATGGATTACTGACTGAGTAAAACCAGTTATGCAAGGTCAGGTTAGTATCCTACTTGGCCTTTAAAAACAAGGACAAATTTCTGTCTGGAAAATAGATTTAAAAAAAAAATATGACTATATCTCAAGTTGTTAAAGGTGGATGTTTTCCAACCGACAAAGAAAGCTGCACAAGTTTGATCAAAACAATACATGATAACCTTCTGTAATCACGCTGGTGTGCTTAAAGTCTCAGCTTTCTACCACGCCATTTAACAGACAATGCACTGCCACTTCATCCAGCATTTCTACAGCCAGTTTTTAATCCCACTGTCTGCAGCAACATTTCATGAGATGACAGGTTCAAGGCTCACACGCCAATTCTACTGCATGTCAGTTATCTCCATTAGTCTTACATGACCCCAGGTGGAAGTCATGAATGATTTATCTTGGAATATTTTTGACTGAACGTCATTTTGTGACTGAGAAAACAAGGTTCCAGTAAAAAATAAAAAAACTTTTTGTGTTTTCTGCAGCCTACAGTTTCCAAAAAATGAATCCAGTAAAACTGACAGATAAGCAGCTGTACAACAAATGCATAAAACTCCAAAGAAAAAAATATATCTGCTTTTTGTCATCCTGATAAAAAATGTGCTTGTTCATATTCATTGGTGAAAACAACACTCAGCTTTAAAAAATTGACCACTTACAGACGGCCATGTATGTGACATCCTTGAAGACTACAGCCATTATTTCAATTGGGGTTATTTCCTTGCTTTGATGAGGATTTATAGGGTTGTGATTTTACAGTGGCTCCCAGACAAACCCAAGCCCATGCAGACACAACATTGGCCGGGTGAGCTGGGGCACCCCCTCCATGATGAGAGGGAGGGGAATGCAAAATAAACCTAATAAAGTCACACATTTCTGTTTCAGCCACTTGCGTATCCATACATGCATTTATCCACCTAGTGCCCTTAGGTCATAGTCTTGGCCTGCTTTCTGTCATGGGGCGATGGCCAGAGCCCCCCAGCAATGCAGACAAACAACCAATTTCCGATTGCCTCAGCAGTAATGTAATTTTTTTTTTAAGTGCACTGGTCAATCAACCAGGGTTGCATCACTACATGCTGCACCTTGCTGTTATGCTGCATGCAGCGCAGCTTCCACCCAATTTGATGAGATCCTTCTTTATTTACTCATTTGCAAGAAGTGGCCCTGTCAAGAAGCTGAGACCTGACAAGCCTGAACTTATACAAATAGACGTCCATACCCTCTACACCCACTCATATTACACTCGCCTTAGAAACACAACACTCTTTCTGTCGTGCACTCCCATACCCTGTTAATTTGTGTAGATTCAGCCGATAAATCAATGATTATGATTGTGTTTGATACCCTTCCAAAGCATACATGGGGCATTCTGTTAAATTGTTCATTTACTTTATCTGTGAAACTAGGATTAAATCAATACTGTTGAATTGTAATTATTGTCTATACCTGTTGATTTGATTTTAAAATATATTGTTATACCACCCCTCCAAGAATATTTTTTCCTCTGGCCGCCACCACTTGCATGTCAACTAGCAGCCCTGGCCATGGTCAAGACATTTTTCCCTCATTGGCTCTAGTAGCCTTGGAGCGGTTTCCACGCAACTGTTCGGAGTGAAGCTGTTCAGTCTCCCAGAGGAGGAGGACTAGCTCAAGTCAAGATACCCATTTATATGAGGCTTTTGCAATCTCAAGTAAAAATGCAACCCACGAGGCAGACGACGGGGGAAGCGTGAACGTGTGACATCTGGCGGAGTTGCGCGGGCGCATCAGAACCCCCTTGCGTCTATTTTGTGCCACGGATAAGCGTGCGCTCCCCATTTCCAGCAGCCGCAGTAGCCGAGCGCCTCTTCTCACTTTCACTTCATGGCTCAGCGCTCCGATCTTTACGCCCCGCTCGCGCTACTGGTGTTTGGCCTCGTCGGCATCCTCCTCCTCACGATTCCCAGCGAGAACGTCCAGGAGGCGCCGGAGTTCATGGTAAGGTCGGATCCTCTGGGTATATTTTTGGATGAGCGTGTCATGTTTTTTTTTACGGATGGTACGAAACCAAAGCCGTGCCCCGCGGATGGCTGACATCCAATATCCAACTTAATACTGTATGGCTCGAGATTAATTTTTGCATTCCTCGCTGGATGTCGGCGGTTTGACACATTATTACGGCTTTACTGAAGTGCGACCTCCCCTGAGATCATCTGAGGTGTCATGTCCGCTCAGCTTTTAGACCTGAATTTCTGAATTAATCTATCTAACTTTTGTCTGGCATTCAGTTCAATATTTAATTAGAGAGATAATTTAGCTCCAAATCGAGCTCTAAAATGTTATATTAGTGGCCTGTGTGATGTCCACAGTTTATTCTTTGGATTAATTTAAATGTTTAAGTAATGGATTAATGCATTCTATTTTAAATATCGTACAAAACATAGAAACGTAGTATATATACTGTGAATATATAAAGATTTTGTTTTCTAGAAAAGTTCAGTTTTTAGGTCAAGCAGCCTAACTCAAAGCTGTATTAAAGCCTTCAGTTTGTGTGTGTGTGTGAGTATATGTGTGTCTGACTTAGCTCTTTCCAACATATTGGAGTAGGAAACATGTGAAGTTTAGATAAACCGAGATTGGACAAGTGTATGACTACAGGTCCCCATGTTGTTACAATGTGAGTGAATCAGACAAGTGTGGAAATAATTGATATGGCAGTTTATTGTGCATGGGCATAGACAGCTTTTAAACAAAATATGAAGGGACACTATGAGTGTGTAATAACATAAATGACTCTGTTTGGGGCAATGACAAATAAAAGCTTTTTCCTCTTTAATTTACACACACAAGTTTTGCAAACCGACTCTTAATCTGACCACGTAAATGAAAAAAGGCATGACGATATGTTTGTCTTCACAATCCCTTGAAGCACACCGAAGAATCTTCAAAAATCTACAGTTTCATAGCTTTGCTCTTGGACTTTCTATCAAATATAAACGTTTCACCTTAAAACTTGAAAATGAGGATAGTTATATTTTTCTGCTTCTTTATTTCTGTATGTATAATTGAAGTTTTCTCATCCAATGCCGGTATAATGGAACATGTTTTGCTCAAGATACAGTAATGAAATGTTTGTTATTATTGAACTGCTCCTGTCCTATTTCAATGACAAACCATCTGCCAAATTTCCAACCAGAGTCGTATGATGTGATATTTCAAAGAGTTCACTAAATGAAAATGTGCTAAAACCTTATTCTGGTAAAGAAGATTTTACACCAGTCAGCTCCAATTTAGATTCGGTCTGTTCCCTCCTTTTTGTGTGCCCTTCAAGATACCCTGTGGTTCCTTTTTAGGTAATAATGAAGCTGCTCTTTCACAAAGTAACATTACAGACACACACAATGAACACACACACAATGAACAAGGACTTCCTTCTGTTAGAGTTAATCATGTTTTTGGAAAATGTTCATTTTAGGTCCTTCAATGGGCTGCACAACTGAGAACATTCTAATAGAAACATAGATAGAGACACATTTCTGTTGTATTGGTTATGTGTTAAGAAAACAACTATGGTTTTTCTGTGACAGAAAAATGCAAGTTTGTATGAACTGGAGAACAGAGGGGACAGGTTGTTGGATGGGTCTTCTTCCAGTATATAAAGCACCATCCCATCATCTTGTTAGTGACCAAATAAACACCTTACATGTTACAATGTAAGACATATCAGGTATACAGACAGGGTCCTCACGCAGTAGCACGTCACAGACAGTGGATATTAATCTTATTTATATTTTCCATGTAGATAAGAAGACATTGAGTATGGAAAACATTGTTAAAGAAAAATGTAAAAATCGTAAACAAACCAGGCCGTGCAATGGACCAGCGACCTTTTCGTGGTGTACCCATGCCGTTGTCAGCTGGGATAGGTCCTCCTGTGACCCCGCGGTGAATAAGCGGTGGAAAAAAGAAATATTTGGTGGATTTATTCAAACCAGTTCACCATTTGTACGTTCTGCATTGTGATCCTGTTGTCGTGTTTTTTCTGCAGGGCTGCCTTTAAGGTCATGGACAGAAAGCAGTGATTTTTATTATGAAAAAAAAGAGTATTTTAACATAGGCCTAAAGGCAGCTGGAAAATGCCAGAGAACACATTATGATTTAGTTGCCCTTTTCCTCTTTCATAGTTAAACGTGCATGCACTCTGCTTAGAACTTCCTAATTGATTTGTTTGAATGGCTTCATTGGGACACAGAAAAATCTGAAAAACGAACATTACATTTATTCTCATTTTTTGACAACTCCCTGGTAATATGCAAAACCCTTACCACACAAGTTTACTAAACTTTGGAGAATTTGCCAAAACTTAACAAAACTTGCAACTGTGCAAATGGTCATGACATAAGCGTTTGGTGATAGTTGGAATAAACCGACTGCTTTCTTCTTTAATACTCTGAAAAGATGAAAGGATTTCCATAACAGCGTCTTTTTTCTTGTTACAGTTAAATTCCCAAAAGCTGCATTTTTTAAAATCATTTTCAAAGAGTACAGTCCTTTCTCTACAGAGATTTGCAGTAATCAGCTTGTGATTACTGCAAGACTAAAAGCAAATGTGCTAGCTTGTAGTATGACACCCAGAAGGCTGCCTTTGAAAACTGACTCTTCCTAACCTAATCTGCCACCAAACATTTTCCGAATGCCAAAAGTTATGGTCATATTTCTCTGATGATAAATTAGTGTCATGTTGTTTTTGTTTGTTGGTTTATTTGTTTTTTGCCTCATTAGCTTTTAAAGTTCCTGCCTTTGCTTTTTTATCTGTTTCTTTACCATAGTATGGCATCGTCCTGGATGCTGGATCGTCACACACAGCTTTGTATATCTATAAGTGGCCTGGAGATAAGCAAAATGGCACCGGCGTAGTCACCCAGCATAGTCACTGTCACGTGAAAGGTAACTATGGGCACTATCCACCAAAACCCTTGTTTTGCATTGTAGATATGACATGGGTGGACTCCAGCACTCTCCAGTTTCACAAACCCAACACTGGGCCTAGAAAGTATCAGCCTCAGTGTGTTCCAGAAACACTGTGCAATGCTACTTAGGTTAAATGTGTTTTTCTCACAATAAAAAGCCCCAAATTGCATGTTGAATAATCACATTTTCACCTCTTACAGCAAGCATAGAGTAAAAAATATATATAATAAAAGTGAAATGGCAAAAAATAAAGCTTGCTAGAAAATACAACGATGACAAATGAGGCCATGTCAGTATTTATTTTGGATTAAAAACATTTTAAAAATCAGAATATTACTGCTTCAGTAGGATTTACGTGTGTTAGAAGCTGCAAGGTGCTGCTTAATAACTGCAATTTATTAATCCATCTTGGCTAATCATAATCGCTCTTCTATAAAAGAAGCTTAGTTGTCTGGAGCATTCAGGTGCATGTTAGCACACAAGATATAAGCAATGGCATGCGAAAAGCAATTGCTGCTGTTCAGTATTCTAGGAGGGGGAATAAGGCTAAGAAAATAAAATTGCCCATTGAAACATTGAAATTAGTGTAATTTCAATGTTTTCTTTTATGGTTCACATACAAGTGGTGAGTATGTCTAGTCTTATGGATGTGAACTGTTTGCACAGTAACATAAATTAATAAATATGGCTCACAGCAACTGATTCTGTTAACCAATTTTTGAGAGCCTGGACCCTGTTTAAAAATGCCAATTAAGAATTCAAATGTTTTTACCTGTTGCTCTGCTCACGTCTCACTCAGGTGGCGGAATCTCTAGCTATGCAGATCAAAAGGGGAAGGCAGGGCAGAGCTTACAGGCATGTCTGGATCAGGCATTGAAAGATATACCCAAAGACCGACACAAAATGACACCTGTGTACCTTGGAGCCACCGCTGGCATGAGACTTCTGAAGTGAGTCACTTTGTTTGTCTGTGTTTATGTGACAAGACTGTCTGTGTGATCTCGTTGGTTTTTGTTTGTTTGTTTATTTGTTTCCTGTTGGACTGTATTAAGGAATACTTCCTGTAATTGTTAGTAATGACTCACAGGAATTCTAAACTATCATTATGTTTGCTTATGTGAGGCAGGTTCAGGAGCTTTCATCAAGTTCCTTGTTTCTCACACAGTTTTCACTCAAATCTGACAGTGACCTCATCACTTCAACCTGTCTAATCTGGAACAAAATTCAACCCCGACTTAATGAAACCGCATCTGCATTATCAAATTGTGCAATTTAGATTTTACGTTCTATTCTCAGTACTTACCAGTATGAAGCTGCCTCAGTTCCCTTCCTTACATTAATGGTCTTTACAGAGACGCAGCTGTTTCTTAACCAAGACGTTTTCTTCTCTTTGCAAATGTGCTAGCTGCACTATGGAAGTTTGCATGTTGTATTCCTGCTAGCTTTTTTCAGATTTCACCAAAGATTTAAGTGCTCTGTGATCATGATAATTCGAGATTCATGAAAGTTGAATTCCTTTATTACTTCCAAGTTTCCTTTGGACCCCTCTTAACTCATTTTCAGTAGTTTCTTCCTCATTAAAAGCTCGGTTTTGTTTGGCTCAGACACATACGCCAAATAGAGATACATCTTTGTGAACAACCAAGGATGTTTAAACTCACTAATTTGTGTGTGAAATAAAAGGACACTCCGGGCTTGTTTGAGTAAGTCCAGGGGGTGACACCGTTTTTTTTTTTTTAACCAAGCAGCATAGTTAAATCAGTAATTAAGGACATGAATTCAGAAAATGTCAATGCATACACTGTCTAAATTAACATTGCACAGACATTTCAAATTACAGAAGCTGTTTTGACATGTTCCAGATTGACTTTATCTCCTGCAATTACAACAAGATGTCACTGGACACCTGCCATGACCGATTAGGTTCAGAGCGCACAGAGACAAGAAAGAGACGGTGCATGCAAGTGAAATCACAAGGAGTGGCGTCAGCATTGGAAATGTCAAGTTTTCACATAAAGAAACAAAACCAACCTTGTAAGGCAAACCATAGCTTGTGTGAACAGTTTCCCAATTACTGATTCAGAGGTGCCCGAGTGCATGATTTTTTCTAACATGTCTAAAGGGCAGCGCTCTTCTTGATTTAGATGATAATTGTTTCACAAAATGGTTTTAAATGTTCTTCAGAAAATTCCAAATTGATATTATCATCTCTAAAATTAATCTTCATAACAGATTTATCCATTGTTCCTAATAATATAATGGTGTTTCTTTTGATTCATGTTATGGGTTTTTATTTAAAGCCTTCCATGGAAATCTTGGACTTGGTAAACATGAACTGGTGCAATCACCTCTTTTGAATGATCTATTTTGATACTTGTATAAAGTGTCACAAGGGCTAATTGTACTAGGGCTTGTTCATTTCTAACACAGCCTTGAAACCTTTTTTCATTTCCAGTTTGAGTGTGTTTAAGTGGAAATAAGAAATGTTTATTGCAAAGAAAATGAAACTAACATTTAGCCCTGAAAGATGTATTAATCAAATTTAACTCGTCTTGTTGTTAATTGAGGTGCCTCAAATTAAGGTTAGTGTGTGTGTGTGTGTGTTTATATGTGTTTATGTGTGTATGTGTGTGTGTGTTTGTGGCACTAATTAAGTGAAATTTTCTTCTAAGCATTTCCAGTCCAGAGCAGTCAGATCAGATCCTGCAGGAAGTGGCCGAAAAAATCCGGTCATATCCTTTCAACTTCCAAGGGGCAGCAATATTAAGTGGACAAGAGGAGGGAGCATATGGTTGGGTCACTGTTAACTATCTTTTAGAGAACTTCATTAAGGTACTTTAAGATTTTATTTTGAAAAATGTGTTTTAAAATCTAACTCAATTGGAAAATGTATTGATGCCATAGCCATAAGTTAAAATCTTCTGTTAGAAAAGATTTAATAATGACAAAGCAGTGAGGTGATATACATTTTTGAGTCAATTTGGGGGGTAATCTGACTAACAAACTTCCCCCTAACCTTTAAAATGTGATTGATTTGGCTTTTCTGATTTTTTCCCTATGTAGTATGGCTTTGTGGGGCACTGGTTAAGCCCCAACAGACCAACAGTGGGAGCGCTGGATTTTGGTGGGGCGTCCACGCAGATAACGTTTGCCACTCAGGAGCCAATAGAACATGAAGAAGACATAATGAAGCTGCGTCTTTATGGTCAAGATTACTCTCTGTATACACACAGCTTCCTGTGCTATGGGAAAGACCAATTTCTCAAGAGGCTGTTGGCCCATCTCATCAAGGTAGTGTCACATGCAGCCTTTAGCTATGAGTAAAAGGATTTATAGAGTGATTCATGTTATGATATAGTTATGTTATGTTTTCTGTCTAAAGTATCAAAGGAAATTCATTGAGCCCCTTTCTCAGATGTTGGTATAATGATATGATCTATTAAATCATTTGGTTAAAAACAACAAAGGTAAAAAGTAACACGGCAGTCATATAAGAACTGTCTGCACAATTACTTTCCCCCCTCAAAAACAACCCAACGGATTATTACTACTGTAGCCAATGATATAACTTTACTATAACAATATTCAGGCTCCGGTGGTCACAAGTGCTACTGCAATTGATGACAAAAAAATTAATCGTTTAAGGGAAAAAACTGAGATTGGGCTTTTTTTGGCCTAACTAAAGGACAAACTTGAGAATTACATTGAAGGAATCTTGGTTGTACCGCCCTTGCATATAGGAAACATATGGATCGTTCTTAAAAGTACTCAAAAGCCTTAGACTAAATAGCCCTGGTTAGTTCAGTTGGTTGTAAGGGAGGATATGTAAGCATATTGGCCCACTTGCAGAGCTTACACTTTCAGCATTCCTCAAACGGCAAAATAATCACATGATGATTCATACTAATTTCCAAATACACTCATATTTTCTCCAGGAAGAGATAGTAGACCTAAGCCCTTTTTTTTAAGTGCATTATACATGTACTGAGCTTTCAGAAATATGAAGGAGCTACATAGGCATCTGAAAAGAATGCAACACCAATATATTATTTGAATCTCCCATCCTAAATGAAGTGATGGGAGACATTGAAGGCAAAAAACTTCCTTTAAACATGAACCAGACATAAGGAAATCATCCATCTGCCTTTCACCAAGTGGGAGTTTTAGAGGGAGAACAGATGCACAAACACTGAAACACAATCCAGAGATACATTCCGTGGGAAAAAAAGAACATCTCACAGATTTAGGGACTTTTTCAGGCGTGGTAACGTTGAATATCTGAGTTCCCTCAAGCACAATAGGAATTACCCACCTGTTATTGTACTTAAAATAAAATATGCTTGGAAAATCCCAGTGCATTTATAATGGATCTCCCAAACTTCCTAACTTTTAAAATGAAATTTTCAACATCTGCACAACTTTTTCTTTATGCTTCTGTCTCGACCAAAAGTGGATTTCCAGAGAGAATGTTCAGGGGCAGTAGTCTCTTTTAACAAAGATTTTCAAAATTTTGAAGGAATTAATACCTAATTATTAATTAGGTTTTGATGCCAAATTAGCATGCTTTTGAGACAAGTTCAGGTAAAGTAAAGATGGAAAACGATCAGAATAACACTAAAGAACACATGCAGAATTGATTATTTCATAATTAATAATACACAGCATATGGTTTCAAAAGGTTTTGTTAAATTCCAGAGCATTACAGCGTATGTTACAAAACAATCATAATTAATAAAAAAATCAACTTAACTATCTTTTGGGGCATTTTAACACAGTTTCAGAGTGTCTATGTGAACTAAAGTTAGGTTTACTATTTCATTTTTTGGCTGACTATGGTAACCATATTATTATTATTATTGTCTGTTTTATTATTTGATAATAAAAGAACATGTCATCGTATCTTCTGTTTCTTTCAGTCTCAAGGTTACTCCCAGTCAGTCACTCATCCCTGCTATCCGGCGGATTACAGCAAGGAATTGGAAATGGACAGTGTATTCGGCTCACCGTGCACAGCACAGAACAGGCCCAGCTCCTACAAACCTGACGCGCATATCACAGTACAAGGCAGCGGACATTTTGAGCACTGTCTAGGGAATGTATCGGAGATGTTCTCCTTTGACATCTGCCCCTACGCACAGTGCTCATTTAACAAAGTCTTCCAACCAAGTATCACCGGTGGATTCATGGTAATAAAAAGAGTAGATAACTCACTTGTGGCATCATAAACTACAGTTCAAACTTCATGTTAAAGGAAATGGCACATGAACTTTGTATTAAGCAATAACACAGACTAACCTGCTCAGTTAATATAAAATAAGAAATATGCTTCTATTTACATCGGATCGGTTATCTAAACTTGTAGATGAAAATTTGATGTTTGACGTAAGTAGAACAGTGGTGTAACAGCACTGATGAAAAACATTGTAAATAATTAAATTAAATCAATATGTTGAGAGTACATGTATGACAATATCCAGAAATTGTCTCAGTTGGTGAAATATAAACATTATCATACAATATGATAATTTAAAACCTGAATCTAATATATAAAAACAATGATGGATCTGCATGATAGTGGCTAGATTCTTTAATGTTTCATGACAATTTTACAATAGTATTAGTATGATCAATGCTTGCGGTCCTGATAATAGTCAATAATCAACAAAAATCAGATATTCTAAAAGCCCCAACGCCATACATAAACATGCTTTATTTTTTAAGTTACCTCAACATATTTCTGTTCTTCACTTGTTTAGTCTTTCAGTTTAGTTTTAAATGGGTCATCAGTCCAATTTCTTGATTGAGATCTGTTTCCACTCAACCAGAGAATAATGCAACAAATTACATTTCCCAGCAGAAAAAAAACAACTACCGCATAACCCTCTGGATGCTTTTACCCTACAAGTTTTTCATTAAAAATGTACTGAAATGCATGTATTATGCAGAGAAGTATTAAAATTAAATGAAAGAACCGTTTAACCATCCAAGCCAAGGAAGATATGCTAGTCCTGGTGGAACTTAAGTAAGCACTGCATGACTTGAAAGTGCACTGAAAGTAACAACATTGTCTCTGTCATTCTGTTGCTCTGAATTATCCTCAGTGTGCTTTGAATAACCCATAACCGAGGGTTTCTATTTTTCTCACTGTATTACCAGGCGTTCTCTGCATTCTTCTACATTCACTCCTTCCTGAAGCAAATCACTGGGATCACTGTGAGCACTCCACAACAGCTGGAGGAAGCATCCAAATCAGTGTGCAGCTTGAGTTTCAGTCACGTAAATGGTCTTTATTCATTCATCACTGTCCGTTCGGTCGAAACACTCCAGGCTCGCATGTATTTCGACAATTGCACATCATTTTTCGATTGAAATGATCTGTTTTGTTTACACGTTTGGGTTCGTGTTGCAGATGATGCTTCAGGCTCCAGATCAAAAGTCTCGTTTGCAGGACTACTGCGCTTCGTCCGTGTTTGTCATGACTCTTCTGTTGAGAGGCTACGGCTTCAATGACACATCGTTCACAGACATTTCCTTCCAGGAAAAGGTCATTCGGGACTTTCCATAATGAAAAATGTTGCCCAAGATCCTAATTTGCAAATATATATGTGTGTATACATATGTCTATCTATATATCTACATATTCATTCATTTTCAGTGCATATGTTTCTGCTTCTTCTGCAGGCTGGGGGCACCTCCATGGGTTGGGCTCTGGGCTACATGCTGAGTTTGAGCAATCTACTACCTGAGGAAAAAGTGGGGCTGAGGAGGGCCTTGACCCCAGGGGCATGGGGGACGCTGATTGTTCTGTTTGTCATGGTTCTCGCTACAACACCAGTCCTTGTTTTGTTTCAGATCCAAAAACGTAGGAAAAAACACGGTGGGGAGGATACCATCTAATAATAATTCTTCAAATGTCCTCGGTATAGTTAGAAAAGGACAAAACATGATTATGTTGTGACTAGTTTGAATGTTTTTAATCTGAACTGAACCTCACTGAAATGTCTTAAAGTGCAGCATTTCAAAATATTCATTTAAAATGAATTTCTTACTTGACATTTTTTCTGCTTGAAGTTTGTCAATTAACTGTTCTGTGTCATAGACACCATAGATTTGAGTGGATTATTGCTTGAAGCTCACCAATGTAACTTAAAGCGTGTGTAAATCTTCAGCTTGTCTGGGTTTCTGAAACCATGCTGTTATCAGAAAGGGGAAAGACAGTTTTTTCTATCGTGCTGAAGAAGTGACCCCTTATGTAGAAAAATTGTCTACGACCAAATAAATGCAGTTTAACACTCCCCCTGGTGGCAATAAATACACAGCCATGGTCTGATATTTTTTCTCTTCTTTCACTTTTTTATTCTTGAGAAATCAACGTACTTTGTGTTTTTTATGTTTGTTTGTTTTATCTTTTTATGGAACAAAGACTAGTTGAACTCTATAAGATTAAATTTCAGTAGTTGAAGAACGACCAGTTTATTATATTAGTATAGGTTTGTTTTTCAGTCGATCCCTGTTGCTGTAAGTAATTAGCACTTTGTCTTGGTAAAGCACTTTTATATCTCAACATTTGTCATCACAAAGTCTCTGGGTACATTTGAGTATAGTGTATTTGTCTGTTGAAAAATATTGACTGGCTAATTATGAAAATAAAAGATTAATAAAAGTTATACAATATCTTTAATATACATAATTGTAATTCTTAGTACTGTTTAATTGGGACCCCTTTAGGGAATAAGCGGTTACAAAAATAGATGGATGGATGTTTAATTGGGATTATTTAGAATCAAAATTAATTTAACTTTTGGTTCACAGAGTCTCACATATCTCTGTGCTGTAAAGCTAACAGTAGTATAGTAAATAATAAAATCCATGTCATCAGTTGTTTGTTGTATATGAAATTGTTTTTTAGTCATATCCATTAATTTTCTACACTGGACCAAAACATCACAGGACCAAACGGAGACGAACAAGATAGACAGGAATGCACTCACACTTACGCCCTATTCAGACTACTAAGAATCCTAACGTGAGCGTTTTTTGACAGTTGGAAGAAGTTTGTGTCCGTGGTGAGGTGCATAAAATGGCATCCTGTTCCACATAACATATGTTAAAGCAGGGTGAAACAACGTTGTATTCATCCCACGGAGCTAAGGGTCTTAGGATACAACATTTGGCCTAAAAATGGGAGACATCTTCAGTTCTCTTATGGCCAACATTTGACTTTGAGTGACAAAAAAACAAACAAGTAAACTTTACTGCCCAAGGCCTGTTTGAAATTTTGGACACATTCTATCACATGTTGTAACCCGAATTTAGGCCAGGTTCTTAAACTCTGGTTCAAAACTGGCAAAAGTAAGTAAGTAATAAGTAATAAGTCTGAAGTACCAAAAACTGTGTCATGTGATATGCATTAATTATTTTTCCACTGCATATATTATATGTATTCTATTACTGCTACTGCATGTCTGGTTGGATGCAATCTGCATTTCCTTTTTTGTGCACAATAAAATCTGATCTAATCTACACATTTTTACACCTCATTTGTGTTTCTTCTTACCTTGCTCTTTTTTTATATCTTTAATAACACAATACTCGTTTAGTTTTGTCATTTCATGTGAAATATTGTTTTCACTAGCAATGCTACCAGTAATGCTTTAATATTTCGTGTGGACTACAACTACCAGAATCCTTACCTTCAACTAGTGCGTTTCCTCTCAGTAGTTCTGACTGCGCTACCTTCAGAGTAAAATAGGTTTTTCTTTACCGTCATTTTCAATTCCTGAGAAACTAGTTATGTCCGTGTATTTCGAAATGTATGCTTCCTGTAAGTATCAAGGTTGGAGAACAAAAATATTTTTTATTAAGATAATTTAGATATAGTAAGATGATTCGAAGTTACGCGTTTTCACTGTCACTTATTCTGAAATTTAAACCGGAAAACTAATATTTTAAGAGGAAACGTCAATCCTTTCAGTGGTCAATGAGGCACGTTCACGTTACAATACAAAGAAGTGTGGAGCAACTTACAGAAACACGGAGCTTGTTAAGGAAATAGGAGCCTTTGCTTTAGTGGTCGCTTTGTCGGTGTGGGTGCTGAGAAGTTTGGATATGTGCACGCAGACCAAGGCCGGGGCTCTCATGGCCAACATACCGCAGGCAGACATTGACCCGTCAGGGGTGTTTAAATACGTCCTTATCAGGGTTCATAGCCGGGAAGAAGGGGATGACTCCGAGGTGGATATAGTCCGGGGATACGGCTGGGCTGAGTACCACGGTGAGTCCGGACTAGTAAATCTTCGAAACGCGTCATATGCGGTCAAATGCAAGTTTTCGTATTAAAACCGGTGCAGATACGAAGCACCATCGCCTTACAATTCAAATTTTTTGGTCCTTTTCTCTGAGTAGTTTGCATGGTCGCCCATGGGACGACCTGATGTATCTCCACAGTCTGAAGACATTTCTGTTAGGTTTAACGAGCCAAGTGGAAAGTATTATTTGGATGAAGTGGTTACATGGGTCATATCATCAAGTTTAAGAACGTGCCTCTTTAATTCAGATGTCCAATCACCTTGTCTTATTCACTCAGATAGAGAACGTGCACCGTTAATTGACAGTTCATCCTCTCCTTAATTTATGCACTACATGAGGTAACATTTTGACATTTAGTCCGTTTTGCTCTTGTTGATTCTGGTTCTGTCTGATCTGTGTCATTCACCATTTAGTGGCAACTGGAAGTTTGAAACGCCACGTTCCAGACTTTGAGAAATAAAGACAATGCCCCCAAATCGCCCATTACAATACAACCATATATGCTGTAAATACACAAATGGTCCAGGATGTCACACAGTGTTAAAGCAGACTACCTGCTCACGTTTTTGTCTGTCTCTTTTCCGTAGCTGATATCTACGACAAGGTTTCAGAGGAGCTAGAGAAGGATGGCCACCTGGACTGTGAATGTGTTGGAGGAGGGAGAATCAAACACGATGCTCAGGCTAAAAAGATCCATGTCTACGGGTACTCCATGGTAAGAGAATCTGAGTGAACGAAACTGGATTGGCATGAAATGTCTCGTTTATCGATTTATTTATTGATCTCTGTTTGTTTTTTGTTTTTTTGTGGCTGGATACAATCCTAATGAGTCTGATTGATTATTTACCTTTTCATTAAAGGGATTTGGAAGAGCAAACCACGCAGTGACAACTGAGAAACTGAAGGCCCGATACCCAGATTATGAAGTCACCTGGGACAATGAAGGCTACTGAAATGAGCCTCTACCCCTGCTGGATGTTCTTTTTCATAGACTGATATTATGATTTTCTGTAACCCTTCATCTGCAGCACAACTTGCCATAAAATATTAAATTAGCTTTTTATAACCACATGAACTATCAATGAGCAAGATTCACTCAAAGTGACCTAAAATGAACCAATTACAAGGCTTTTTATATGTAAAACGCAGTATAGAAATTAACTTTTTTTCAACTGGATTCTATTACTTCTAAAAACGATATGTCTGCCATTGTAAATATGATTATTCACATTGTGTTGTCTAATTTTAAACTATGTTCACCATGAAAGTTTACAGTGGACCATCTGACTTGTTTTAGAGTCACATACAATTGCAGATATAACTTAATTAAGATGTTGTAAAGTTAGCCTCACCCACTTCTTCGTTTTGTAAGTTTCAAAAATAGTTTATAGAATCTGCCTCAAAGTTTTCTTCCAATTTACGCAAAACTTTTTTTTTTTTTAAACATTAACCCCCTTTAACATCTACAGTTAGAAAAAGGAATGGGAAAATATTTATTTACATTTCTTTTTTCATTGCTTTTTTCACAGATAGTTGAAGTGACTCGTTGTGGTATAAGTGTGAAACTTTTTTGCCAAAGTTTCACCATCGGAGCAACGAGTGTTGGATCTTTTCCATGAGAATTTATCAACAGTGCACTATTGTGCAAGACGTTAGCGTCGTTTGAAAGGAAATGGTTTTATTATAGCAGGCAGCGGTTGCATGCTGGGTGATTTTAAAGTCCACCCGTTATCTCTGAGACGTACAGGATATATTCAACGAGGTCCTCCTGGCTTTGCTCAGACCTTTAATGTAATTAGGACGACAGCCAAAAGATGTGTTGGTGGAGGAGCTCCGCCATCCTTCTGCTGTTGACCCTGCAGTCGGGTAAGAGCTCATTTTTGATCTGCAATGGTATTCCATACCAATAGCAAGTACAGACGTTTTCCTTGTAGTATAATTAAATTGACGGGGACAGGTAATCTTTGTATGGCTCAAAGAATCCATTAAACCATTAACTATTGAAAAGAAAGAACAAACACAAATTATGTTTTTGCATTTAGCAGATGCTTTTATCCAAGGCAACTTACAAAGTAGACACAATATTACAGTTATCATCAATATGATAATAAGTTCCCCAGTCAGAATCAGCGGTGAGAGCAAAGAGAGAGAGGGAAGTGCAGAAAGAGTAGTAGAGGGGTACAGAGGTATGGGTAAGAGTTAGGACAGGTGATGTTCATTGAAGAGGTGGGTAACAAGAGTTTCCTGAAGATAGACAGGGTTAGACACGCTTGGTAGATCATTCCACCATCTTGGAACAACACATGAAAACTGTCTGGATTGTCTTTAGCGGGGTGTAGGCACTGCTAGACCACAATCCATTGCTGACCGGAGTGACCGAGTTGTGACATAAGCCTTTGCAAGAGGGTTCAAGTAGACGGGAACTACGTATACCCTTAAGCAATTTAAGGGTACGGCAAATAGCAGCAGAACATTTAAAAAAAATTTAAGTTAGGAATCACCTTTGATGTTTACATCCCTAAGTATTCTGTTTTAACCACACTCATAGATGCGTTTGCTTGCTTGGATCCTGTTAAAAAAATTTTTTTTTTGTTATTTGGCAAAATTTCCCAAATTCTACATTTGAAATTAATGTGAAAAATTGTACATATAGAATGTATGTGCTTGCTTTTGACACTTTCAAATCAATAAAAAGCATCAACCTTTTTATCTTAATTTCTGGACTATGATCAGTACATTCTTTTTCTTATTGGAGGGAGGCAGATGTGCTCAGCAAATGTGGAAATACCAGTGCCGGATGTCAAGTACAATTTCCGAAGGTTCAGCCAGTAAGGCGCAAAGTATTACTCAGAGACCTTTGGTTGGACGGATGACATTTTGCAGCTGTTAACTGGATTCTTTCTCTGGCCTTTGAGCCCGTTCGTGTAAACTGGGTCGTAAATCTTTGACGGTAATGCACCCTGATTGAGAGGTTGAGGCTGAGTCATCTGTGAGATTTTGAGCAAACAATAAAGAGAAGCGAAGAGATACTGATTTCTTCTTCAGCCATTCCACTGCTCATTCTCTGAATACAACACTTATTTAGACTTTTTTTTTAAACATGAATGTATTTTGGTAATGAGATTACTACACGTCAAGATGCTGGATTCAAAACAGAAGACTTTTTTATTGTTTATATTTTGTTGTCGATTTTTACCCCAAATACAGCAGTCGAACATGTAAACAAAGACGTGAATAAATAAAAATAAATAGAAATGAATTAATAAATAACAATAAATGTAAATGAATGAATGAATAAATACATACATCTCAGCCATCACAGCAATCACATAAAACTATCTATTCTGTCTTTTTGTTCTGTCACCCAGCTGCTTGTTCTTGGGCTCCCCGGTGTGAGACCACTGAGGGAAAATGTGATTTTGTGTGTGATTGTTCTGACTGCAGTGATGAGCAAGAGTGTGGTGAGTTTGAAGATTTATATCCATTCAATTTTTTCTTTACTTCTGCAAGTTGTTTTACTCATACAAACAGTGAAGTGTTTCATTCTAACCCTCTGAAGGCTACAGAGGAAGAGCTTTTGAGTGTGACTTTGAGGATGCCGGAATGTGTGGATGGACTGACCAGTCCTTAAATGAAGTGTACACCTGGAAGAGACTTCAGAGAGGGGACGGGCTGCCTGACAGCGGGCCGTCTTCTGACTATACCACCGGCACAGCCATAGGTATCAAAAGCTGCTTTTGTTCTCTTTGCAAATACCAAAAGGAACAATGGAGTGCTTATTCCTTCTTTTTTTCTTAACAGCCCAAAAAGCAAACAGAAAAATAGGCCTTCCGTGACCAAATGAAAGGATTTATTTCTTAGTTCCCATATAATTCTTCCAAATATTAGTAATTGGTTTGTATTGTTTTATTCCATGCTGTGTATGTCCTGGTCATTGAGTCATCTCTGAAGAATCTTTAAATACATTTAAAAATCACTTAACATATTTTGAGTGGGGATTCTAAATAAAATATTTAGACAAACATGATCAATTTTTTATCAGCCAACCCTACAGAGTGATTTTGCTGCTGTTTAGTACTCTAACTTTGGTTTTCAAGTGACTCCATTGAAAAATATATAGATATATACATACCATATTTTGTTGAGACATAAAACATGAGGAGGAGAAGGTAACATAAGGAGATGGATCATGCACTATTTTTTGGGGATAAGCTATGAACTACAATTGATTTGTTTTATATATTGAAAAAAACATTAAATGTGTTCAAGCTTTGACAGAAAAACAGTATTTGCCGTTTTTATAATTAATATTTTAATAATCACCTATATTAGCCTTCAGGAAGGCTACTTGAAGGAAACCCCCGAATGCTTCTTTAGGTGTTGTGAGCCTTTTGTTTCCATTCTCTGTCAGATGATCACACACTGCTTTAATAATGTGGAACTCTGAGTTCTGGGCAGGATTTATCCTTTGTCAAACCTGTTGCCACTGATTCTTAGTTCTGGTCTTTGCTGAATCATATTGTTTTTGGTTGTGGATAACAAGATTTGGGTTTCAGTCTGACGATCTGACAAAGATAAACAGATTCTAACGGGACTTTTATTTTTCAACTCATAGGTTGGTTTATGGCAGTGAGTGCTATTAGTGAACAGTCTCCTCAAAGAGCAGTTTTCATATCTCCAGAGATTAAACAGTCTGCACCAACGTGCCGTCTCCGCCTCAGATATTTCCTTTGGGATTCAGGTAACAGCGCGTGTGCACGGCCTTCATTGGCCGGCCTCTCTGAAAGGTTAACACAACACTTTTCATAAAGGATTTTTATATTTTTCCTTCACTGAAATATTTGTTAAATCACAGGCCACACTGGTCTGGGCTCTGCTCCTCTTTGGGCATCCATCCTTCACCAGAACAATCAAGAGGCTGTGATTTGGCGCCCTGAGGCCTCCAGTATTCATGGCTGGAAGGAAGACACCATCTTCCTTGGTCGCATTCCCTCATCTTTTCGAATCCGTCTCCAATCCCAGCGCCTAGAGGGACGGAGAGGAGATGTGGCCTTAGACCAGCTGGAGTTCCTAGATTGTGCTTTGCCCTGTGAGTCCCTTCGTATCTTTTTCTGTTTCGGTCATCTGTTGAGTGCCAAACACTACTGACACAGTTTGTTGGCTGACAGTTGTATTTACACTGTAAGTTGCATTTAAAGTGCCACAAACTTAAGGATTGCTTATTTTTTCCTGCTTCTGATGTCATCAGTGCCACTTCCTGGGTCAGAATGTGCAGAAGGGATGGTGGAATGTTCACGTGGGGGCTGCGTGGAGCAGCGGCAGCTCTGCGATGGCAGCGATGACTGTGGTGATGGAACTGATGAGAGCGACTGTGGTGAGAAAGCAAACATCTGATTTGCTGGCAGATAATACAAGACTAATGGTAAACAAAAAATCACTTAGTGTTGATTTTTTTTGTACATTTTGCAAACATTATGGCATTTCACGTTATCTATATTGGCCTGTAATGTGAAGTCTAGTAAATTTGTCACACTAGCTAGAAAAACAAAGTCTTAAAACTTCTACTCATGGCGTTCCTGAGCAGTGAAGGTAACATCATCTGGGAAACTCCATCGATTCCAGATGATGCTGTTAGTTGATGTGAATTATATGTGTTTTGTCCAGAAGCATACAGCCGCTGTGACTTTGAGGAGGACCTGTGTTATTGGGACCTGAGGTCAATTTCTCGCCTGAAATGGATAAGAACGAGTCAGGAGGAGATCTCAAGATCAGATCCCCTGAAAGGCCCAGGCAGGGATCACTCCAACAACACTGCATCAGGTATATCGATTTCACATCTTCTTTCTTGTTTTCACATTTTCAACTGCATTGTTCAAACTATTGCCCCGCCCAAGTTTTGATTACACCACTTTATTGTTATTATACATAATCTTGTAGTATGAAGACAAAATCTTGCAGTGTTTTAGGCGTTCAGATTTTTACAGACATACAGATATGACAGAAGTTTGGATGCTTCGTAAAAGAAGGTTGCAGATACCTGTAAAACAGTTTAATGGCTACTTTACTCACAAAAGTAAATCATGTAAAATGTTAGAGTGAGATATGTTACTTTTTTCTACTCTTGTCTTGAATTTGATAGCAGCTACATGTAAAAAAGATAAACAGATACAGGAAGAACAAAAGGCTTTAAGTGCTATTAAGAAATAGGGGAAATAAACATTCATTAATCCAAGGATTTGTATATATGGCTTCTTTTTTCTTATTTTCTGGCATTATGTCGAAACCAACCATTACTCTGTCATGAAAGTAACTGTAAGGAAAAGTAAAATGTCTCAATTTTAACAATGTATATGTTTCTTATATTCTATACTGAATTAACTGTTGATTTACTCATTATTGGGTTGTGTTTTTATTTATGTATTTAAACTGTGCCCCCACTTTTTGTAGTTAGTATTGATTCCATGTTCTATATTGTTATTGTGGTAGGTTATTTCCTGTATGTCACTGTTCCTGATGCTGGTCTATCAATGGACTGGGCTGCTTTCCAAAGTCCCCCTCTACAGCCCACCAATAGTTCACATCCATGCAAGGTTAGTCATTTTTTTTCAATTTGTTTTCCCTTTGTGTTTTTTTACTGTCTGAGAATTCTTTTTGCAATAGAAAGTAATTGCAGTTTCCTTTTTTTGAGTTTGTATTTTTTTAATTAACCTATATATTTTGCTGTAGATGGTGATGTATACTCATCAGTTTGGGCCAAGGTCTGGAGGTTTGACAGTGTTGGTGGCAAGCCATCAAATCACTCCAGTGTGGGAGAGAGGTGGAGCTCTGGGTGATATCTGGGTGAAAGCTGAGGTCCAGATTGTAAGCGACAAACCCTTTCAGGTGAGACTGTCAGAAAATACAAAGTCATTTTGGAGTTTTTGTGTACAGTAAAAATGTAGACTTTTAGGCTTGCGTTTTCAATCGACTGCTGCACCTGAATTGTGAGAGTATAGATAAATTGAGTGGTGACACAGTATAGTCGGTTTCTTATCAACATACTTTTTACATTTTATTTGGAAAAGTATGCAATGCCCCCCCCTTTTTTCAAATAAATATTTGAGTTTTAATGAGTTTTTCTAATCCCCGTTGAACGCTTAGATTCACATGAGTGAAGATAGTATAAAAAAATAATGGATCCATCTCTGCCTAATGGATACTCAATTTAATGAGGTGGGCTACACATACAAATGCGACAGACCACCATACACCTGCGGTCAATTTAGAGGTCACCTTTTAACCTATAACATGCGTCTAATGATTTGCTGAATTGGATATTTTGCTTTAAGACTTAGTTCGCTTGGTGTTGGAATTGAAGTCACAAGTTTGGACGCATTTCAAATGTAAAGTATCTTTGTTCTGTGTTAAAATTCCGGCAGATCTTGATAATGGCAGCAATCAGAGACTTTGACTATGGAGGTATTGCCGTTGACAGCATTGTGTTGTCTCCTGAATGTCGCTTGTCTCTGGGTATGTTTTTCACACAGCGTGTTTAAGAAATAAGAACAGACATTAAATATCTGTTTTCGTAAACCTGTGCGAGATTCTCCCTTTCAACAGTAAATGAGACCCTGGGAAAAATCCCCAAACCCCCAAAGCACCCATGCACTACACCAGATAAGATGTGTGACTTTCATCCTGACTGTGCAGAAGAACAGGATGAGGCCAGATGTGGTGAGTGCATCTACCCTGGTCACTTGGTCATCTAAAGATTTGATTATCTTATTGATAGTTGATATTAATAGGTATCTTGGATTAGACACAGATGGTGTGGGGTGCTGAAGACAAACATGCTGGTTCTGATATAAGATTATTGTTTGTCCAGTTTGTGAAAGGAAATTTGGGTTTTATTAGATACAAATTGAACTCTTTACAATTTTTTTAGATGTAAGCTCAATAATTTATCTTTTAGCTCTGTTTTGATACGTTTTAGTTTTACTGAGGATGTATAATCCCTATCTGGTATTTAGATTTATTTGGATTTTTTTCCATGTGTGAATCTATGTTAAATGTTACATCATGACTTTTCCACTCAGGGGATTTCTCATACATTGAGGGTAGTTTGGGCTGGACTGACACCAGTATTGGGAATCAAGGTTGGTGGCTGCAGGAAAACTCCACAGCCAAAGGTAAAAACACCACAATGTATTCCAAAATTCACTACTAATTACTGATTTCATTAACACCTTAATGTTCGTCCCATAGAGGAGGAATTTCTGTATGTAGCTGATGCTCCAGGCCAGCAGAAGACTGAGGCCCAAACAAGGACCCCCCTCTTAGGCCCCACCGGTCCCGCCTGCAACATGAGCTTTGATTTTGCACTCAATGGGAGCTCCAATCATATCGGTAAATTATTCCCAATGTGTCCAAAATGTTTTTTTTTATCCAGGGGGACAAAAATAAAGTGAAACTATTTATGTTTTTTTGCAGGTGAGCTGTCTGTCAGGGTGATAGACAGCTTGCTGGGGATGGGGCCTAAACTGTGGGAGTTCAGTGGAAAGACCGGAACAGAAGAGGGAGCTTGGAATCACGCTGATATTCCTATTGGGGTCAGGAAACATCGATTCCAGGTTGGATTTTTTTTTCTTGGCTGCTTTGCAATGTTTCCAGTCAAAAAGTATTCACTCTTTTGAGAAGGGACATAACTCAGAATCTGGCACAAAAAGAAGATTTGAACACTTTTCCGATAGTATGTTTATCACATTCTATAATTCCTATAACCATGCCAAAATGAAAATAAACTACATATACAATTGATAGTCATGAATGATGGCAACAGTGAGTTTTAACAGGACTGTCTTTTGTTACAGATTTGTTGAAATTTAAATCTGGGCCTGTGCGATTTTCCATTCCAGTCAGAGAGGGAATCACTACCACAAGAGCAGGACTTCCAGTATGTCTGGGTCCATTTCCCTATGTAAAAGGAGAACAAAACATGAACACTGACAGAAGGATTGGTCTGCTGTTAGTGTGGACCCAACATGACCCTGTTGAGATTAAAAGAGAGCAGAGCCAAAAGTTAAAGCTACCATTTCAGCTTGGTTCAAACCCTCAACATATTGATTAATAGCTACTGGCACTTATTCAAACACTCAAATTTTGAATACAGGATTTTTGTTATAGGAAAAGACTGCAGAGCCCGGAGGGCCTGGAAGTGGGTTAGATTTTCTCCTGAGGTTGCACAGGTTTCTGGGTAGAGATGCTTAAAAGGGGAGGTGTCACGTGTGCCGTTAGAAGAATGCTGTGTAACAGACCTAGGACTTGCTGGGGAGATTCTATTTATTTGCTGGCTTGGGAATGCCAAAGTCTGTCCCTATGAAATCTGACTTGGGAGAGAGAGGTCTGAGAAAATCTGTAATATCTGTAGGCTTTGATTGGTCAAAACGAACGGCCAAACAAGTGCCTGTTGATGGACTGATCAGGAAATCTGTCATTTAATTTGGGTTCTTTTACTCTTTTACCAGCTGGCGTTAGAAGCTCGTGCTGTGAAACTCGATCCACACTCCAGCATCAAAGTGAAGAATGTTCGCTTCTCAAGCTGTCATGCTCAGTATTTTCCATCCGCGCCAACTGGTGAGCTTTGTAAGCTCTACTGTGTAATTTCAACTGTCTACCTCAACATCTCTCAGAACTCTTTACCTTTTGGTGGTCCAGGACTGTCGTGTAACTTTGAAGATGGATTGTGTGGATGGTACCAGGATAACGGTGACAATTTTGACTGGACAGTTCTGAGTGGGATGGACCACACCATCGGAGTTGGTACGATAATTGATTCAATTCAATTTCAATTTATTTATCTAAAAATGTATTGATTTTTCTCTGTGTTTTTAATCTATATATATTGAGAACCCCAAATCATTAAAGTTTGGTGTTTTTTGTTTTTGGGTCACAACTTCTGATTTTGGGTTGTCGCCTCTCAGCTGTAGTTATTCCAGCAAAATTAATTCCAGTTTATCCTTTGATTTTAAGTTTGAAATTAAAACATTCCAAATACAATCTTAAGTTAAAAAAAAGAAGCAAACAAACACTGACAGATTTGACAGATTATTTTCTTTACATTTAGGGAATCATTTAAGGAATCTGCTAAAATGTCTTGTCTTGGTTGTCTTAAATCTATGTGTGTTACATGACTGTTAAATTTTCATGCCCTACTTCTGTGTTTATGCTCAGGCAGAAGCCTTGCTGTGGATATGTGGAGTCCTTCTCTGCGCGGTGCATTTGGGCGCTTGATTTCAGTTCCACTGCCGCCGGGTCAATCAGATTACTGCCTAACCTTCTTCTACAAACTCTATGGGCCAGACACAGGTGACCACATGTTGATGGCAATGTCAATGTTTCTTTATCTAAAACGCAGCAAAACATTTTGAATACTTTTAGTGTCTTATCACGTGGTTCCTGTTCTTTTCCACATTCTGAACCAACCTAGGCATTTTGAATGTGAAGTTGATGGATAAACATGGTTATGATATCGTCCTGTGGACCCGCAGTGGCGCTCATGGCAACATGTGGCATGAAGCCCACTGTCCAGTACCCCACCAGCTTACAAAGTTTCAGGTGAATGGTAACTCTGCCCCCATGTGGTGAAGCAAATAAATCCCTATGATCTATAGCCTCTAATACCAAAATTGCTTTTGCAATGTTATCTTCCTTTTGAAGTCACCTTGTCCAAACTCTGACCTATTAACAGCTGATTTTTGAAGCGGTTCGCTCAGGTTTTGACGGTCGGGTCGCTATCGATGATGTGATGTTCTTGGACGGTCCCTGTTCCATACCAAGAATATGTTCCTTTGAGAGCCAGCAGTGTGGGTACAGCAGCCATGGTAAAGTTAACTGGCTCCACCGCAGCGGACACAGCAGCATGGCTTCTGGACCCAAAACTGACCACACTCTGGAGACTGAAATGGGTCAGCCTCATCTCATAAAAGTAACATTAGAGTATATAGCCAAACTGTAAAAGAGATACTGTAAGTTTGATCCTCCATGTCTCTTCTGTGTTCAGGCTACTACATGATGGTCAACACTGGGGCAACCATCCTCCCCCTGGGTGCCACCGCAGTCCTCACCTCCCCCATTCGTCAAGGAATCATAAACACAGAGTGTCTAAATTTCTGGTATCATATGGGAGGAGAAAATCCAGGTGCAGCACCTTTTATGTACAAAACACACACAGCAAGCTAAAAAAAAAAAAAAAGCAGTTTCATGTAAAGTTTGACATCACATTCAAGAACACACTGGTATACAGAAGAGCTCAGTGTGCTGTTCTTTATGTAAGGTCAAACTTGATCAGATTTAAACACCTGATATTGACGGGCAAATCCTAAGAATTAAGAGGGCGTAGTTCTCTTTCACGACTTTAAGAATATTTTGTGAACCTAAACTTCCTGCCTGTCCACCTGTCAGGTTCTCTTACTGTGTACATGAAGTCTGTAGAGGGAGAACGGGTAAAGATCTTCTTTGACAGTTTGAATCAAGGAGATGTCTGGCGCCATGGCAACGGCAACATCTCAAGCGGCCTTGTGGACTGGCAGGTACAATGTGGGGGCTGAAGAGCACATCCAGAGCAATTATGGACCTCTCATGGGGCCTGTTATGAACACAAATAAGGGTTCATTGCCCTTTTTCTTCATCACTCTTTTTTCATTAAACTTATTACATAAACTCTGCTAAATAACATTCAAATCTAAATTCTGTTTTAGTCCCTGAATTATGAAGGGGCACTTATTTACACAAGCAAACTTTCATGCAGCCCACATATTACGCAGACCCTTCACAAAAAGGAGCTGATGTTTGTTATTTAAACTGATAATGGGGGATTTTTGCTCCACAGTTGGAGTTTGAGGTGGTTGGAGGCGGAGGCAAAGACACCCATGTTGCGGTAGACGATATCTTTGTATCATTGCACCCATGTAAAGATCAAGGTGTGTATTCATCTGCATAATCAAAGTAACTCAGTGTTCAGATTATTCTAAAATAAACAACTAATTCAGTGTTGCCGATCCATGATTTATGCTAAAATTACATTTGCCTGACGTATCAGCTGAAATGTGACCATAGTCAACTAAATAATTAATGGGCAGTGGGCCCTGTAATTGAGTTGTGAGGCTAAATAATGGTATGATTTTTTCATTTATTGAATTTTGACAATGAATATTGAAAAATCTAAGTATATATTACTGCAATACAACAAAGAAGATAACACCAAAAATACTCATTCAAAGTAAACACAGGAAACTTGTGCTACAAACAAAAAGACCCGACTAAATATTCTAATATCAACAATTACACTATGCTAAACCAGTGAGCAGAACTTACAAAAATGTCATGGAAGTCATCAGGGGGGACCTCATAACATTCAGTAGAATATCATGCTCACTTAATATATTTATTTAATGCTTGTATGCACTTTCATTCAAACTGTCCCAGGTTCTAAGTGCAGCATGGAGAAAGGGATGTGCGGTTGGAGCAATACTCAGAACACCAAAGTGGACAAACTGGATTGGGAGCTAACAAGCCATGAAGAAGAGCGTCATTACCCCACTCCGGCTGAGGACCATACTCTGGGCACAGAAAAGGGTGAAACAAGAAATAAAAACATCGACAGGGAGCTCCTTTTCTGCCACAGCTCTATCTGATTGTTAAAAGTTAAATGACTGCCTTGTTATCTTTTCTCTTCAGGCCACTTCCTGTTCTTTCCTAGCAGCAATAGGACAGCGGCCAATGAAAACGCTCAGCTGTTAAGTCCCCACCTCCCTCCGACCAAAGGCACCTGTCTGAGATTCTGGGCCTACAAACCCGATTCATGTAAGAAAGGATATCGAAAGATCATTTCTTGGGTGTTTCCGGCCCATGTGTGACGCTTCGTGTTTTGCTTCACAATGCGTGCAGCCGACAAACGGCTGAAGGTGTGGAGACTTTCGGGGGGCAGTCTCCATCAGCTGCTGGACGTGAGTGAGCTGCGGGGTCCGTGGACACGCTTTGATGTTAACATCACATCTACTGAAGAGTACCAGGTCAGGCCTCAGAAATCCCTGCATCCCTTGTTCTGCTTTCTTTATGCACGTCATTCATGTTTGCAGTCATCTGGATAATGTGTTTGTGTATTTGCTGTCAACAGATTGTCTTTGAAGGAATCAAAGGAACGTCGGGGGTTGTCGCTCTGGATGACATTGAATACACGATCGGTATTAATTGTGCCAACGAAGCCACAGATTCAAGTAAGGATGGAAGTTTCAGATTGTACAGTATATATTATGGTTCATGCAAGTGGTTTCAAATGGTTTCCATACTATTTATCCTCAGGACAGATTATTTGGGGCTTATGATTTGGGCTTGTATTGCAGCTTCTGGACCTGGAAACCGCAAAAACTCCTCTGTAAATAAAAGTATTCTACAGCTGAATTTGAGACTGTACGCCCAACAGCTTAAACTGGGTTACTGATAAAACTAGATAATGCAACACGACAATGATCTCAAACACAGTAGCAATTCTATGACAGAGTGTCTGAAAAAAAGAAGAAGCAAGGCCCAGATCTGATTTAATGCTTGTTGGAATCTGAAGAGGGCTGTACAGAAAGCAGTCTTAACTGAATCAGCATTGTTGAAAAGACTACTGCTACTATTTCAGATTGTTTCAAAGCCTTCCTGGAATGGCGGTTCTACAACCTGATAAATCACTGGGGATGTTGAATGTTGTCAGTTTCTGAATGCATATTTTCTTTGACATTTTTCAAAGATAAACAGTTGTTCCTCTTAGATAGTGTTTTAGATTCATACTATTTTCTCTTTTCTAAACTACTCTACATCTTTTGTTCAGTTTCAAAGAAGGGAGACAACGCAGGAGGGATTGCAGCATCAGTGATTGTGGTCCTGCTACTGATTGGCACCCTGATTGCGCTCCTGATCTACTACCTGCGAACAAAAAAGAGGTTTAACTCCACATCTGGTCCATCGTCATCCTCAGTTGTTGGTATTCCGAATGAAGTTTATGAATCAGACGTCACAGTGAGTTAATCTGGTACTTAAACTGTATACAGCTGTATACAGCTACCTAGTTAACAGTCATATATGTATATATTTCAGGAGGATCACGTGGCAATTCCACAGAGAACAAAGAATCATCCGGTAGAAGCCGGGTTCAATGATGTTTCTGTGAGTTACCAGCGCAACACTTGTTAGATTGGATCTTTTTTTGTTTTACTTGATGTAGATACAATATTCTGAATTAATTAATTTACTCATTGTCCAAACCGCTTATTTAACTTGTTCAAAAGTTATTGAAAAAAGTTGATAAAGTTGAAAGGCAAAAATGTATTCTATTTGACCACAAGAGGGTGCAAAAATCTATGGTTAACATTCCATATACATGTGATTAAAAAATACATAAGGTATAAATATGTATGATTCCATTTGATTTGGTCCACACAAATTTTCCCCTGAGGATTCCTCATTAGTTTACAAATAATCCTCAATTATATGAAATTCAAGTCAAATACAGACCTTGCTGACTGTTGAACTGAGACTGCATTTGAAAATGAACATTTGTTTTCAAATTGTTAAAAACCTTGATGTTGAGGATGTTATAATTGCAATACAGAAATGATTGCCCTTCCAATAAGAAGATAAAAGTTTGTCCTGTCTATTAGGAAATATAAATGGTGTGCTTACAGACACTTATGCATATCTTTTCCTACAGCTCTCTGTGGATGTGAGGGAGAGCCAGGTAGCCTGAAACAAAGATGAAGATTGACTTGCCACTTAAAAGGGGCTATGTGAAATTAAGGGGATGCCACAGCAGAAGAACTGCTTGTATAACCCTGTCACGTACATACAATGCACATTCTAACACACACACACAAACACAATTCAGGAACAATACCAAAGGCTGAAAATCAATGGCCCCAGATCTGGCAGAACCTTCTGGGGTCACAGCACTCCGCCTGTGGACGGAAAGAAGACAGAAGGACAGAGATTAGACGCGCTGTGGATAGAAGTCAGGGTAATTTTTAATCCGTTGTGGGCACAGTCACCTCCATCCAACAGCAAAACGGGGAAAATACAAGACACAGGTCCTGGGTCCAAAAAAAACTTTGTAGAAGAACACTTATAGCAGACTTTGTCTTGTAAATATCAAACAACTGTTGCATCATAACTGACATAACAAAAAAGTTTCCGTTTTGAGGTTGGATGATGAAGCCACACAGACATATATAGAATTTAATCTGGTGGAAGAGATGATGTATCTAATATTCTGAAAATGAGGAAAACTCATTGCTAATGTTTAGCTTTCGAATCCTGCATAAGATTCGGCCACGAAGGGTATGATAAGGAAAACATTGCGTTTCAAATTTCAACAGGTGACATGATAACATTTCAAGATTTTTCTTTTTCAGAGTTTCACCACCTACTGTGGAAAAAAACTACAAAAATCTTACATTTGTATTCAATGCTACACACACAATTATTTTTCCTATCATGGGTTTCCATGACACATGGCCAGGGAGTGAAATTTTGAAATTGTTGAAGAACAGTATGCAACTTAGCATGATTGTGTACACATAATAATGGTCCAGCAGTTTCAGAAAAAAATCAAACAAGTCTAAAGAGTATTTATAGGTGTTATCAGCTATCGATACTTAGCTCAAACAAGCATGAACTTATACTCTGAATGATGCATCATGTTTGTGGACTGGTTTAGAGTTACTTGAACTGCACATGAAAAAAAGAGTCACCATGATTGATTAATCATAAATGGAAAACGACGATATCCTTATGAATCATTAATGGTGGATGTCCGAGTCTATCGGCACATCTTTGATACAATCCTCCAGGTAAATTTATTTACTAAGAAAGCAGAAATGTTTCTATATTGCGTCTAATGTGGCTGATCATTATGTCAATCTGCTTTAAATGTTGCTTGTGAACTAATGTAAGTAGTTCCTCTTAGTGACTGTAAATGGAAAGTTGAAACGAGGCTGTGACAAAATACAGATGTAATAATGTCTGAACCAAGAAAATGACTGGCAGGTGTATTCTACTGAATGTGTTGGAGTGATATTTTCACTCTGTCTTAAATCAGGTATGGGCAAAGCCATGAAGATCAATAAACGTGGTTAAATCACTGATGTTGCCTTTCATTTTTTTACCCAAAGGTAAGATCATCCTGATTCCAAATATAATGTATTTTTGGATAAACTTGAGTCCTGGACAACACTAATCTGCTGAGTCCATGGTCACACCCAGTGTCGGCATGAATTGTTGGTAATCTTTCACTGGTGAGGAGGATGATGACATCATGCCCTTAGCAACGGTCGCGTCGCTACGGCAACAACCTCCAATGTCCCCTCTGTGCTGTTGCACTGTGACTCCCGTCTGTTACTGTGGGAGGGGAAAAGGAAATACAAAGGGAAATGATTTTTCGTGAATGAGCAGATGATTTGGGGGGGTGGTGTGATGGCATGGGCAGTCACTGACAGTCGACGCGTCTCGCGACTTGTAGTGCCCCGAAGTTGGAGTGGACACGAGGCATCTTGGGCACAAGGATCTCCTCTTCTTCCTCCTCCTCCTCCTCCTCCCGATCACTCTCAGCATCGGCCACCTCTGCATTCTGCATGAAAGCCCGCGCGGAGACATCTGGAGCGTTCCTTTGCGAAGAGGCTGAATGGATCCCGCCGTGCTCATCTTCCTGCTGTACGTGATGATCGCGCACGAACTGATCTGCGGCTTCGTGCAGTACCGGAGGCAGAGCGCCAAACCCCGCAAACGTGCTGTCGGACCTCTGCTGCGCCCCAGGTGTGTAGCAGTGAGAGCTTGGATGAGTGGAATCAATCAAATGTCATGAATTCTGTTTTTGGATTTTTGCATTAAAAAGAACAGACCTAGAGGAAATGGAAAAAGAAATCCATAACCATCATATAAACTGAGACTAACTGACTTTAGTCACAAAACTAAGCACCACATGTCACCACAAAAATGTACATTTTTAAATATATATATTTTTTACCGGTCATCTAAGAAAGGGGGACAGGTGTAACATCACACACATGAACATTTGGACATTCCTGACAAGATAAAATCATTCAGGATTATTTCAATAAGAAAATAAGATAGCATTTTGTTATTTTTGGTCAATATTTTTCTACAGTCTGACAAAATGTTTACTGCATGAACTTGAAGTGCATGCCTTTCTGTCTACAGGGTTTAGGCTTCTCTTTTCTTATACTCTCTTTTCACATTTTTGAGAAATATAGCATTTAATCAAATTTGTGATTAAACTATTGTAGTTGGAAGCAGGTTTTACAGATGTGCAAAGATAAGGCCATGTCAACATATCAATATAACAAGGAGAAATAACAGCTTTTCTACACAGCTTTTGCTTCAGTAAACAACATGATAGTAACAGAAATCTTTCAGAAAGTGTTCAACACTTTCTATTGACTTCAGACACCCTCAAAGCAACAGAAAAATATTTTTTTGTTCAGGTCTCAAACTTTCAAAAGGCTCAATAAGGCGAAACAAAACACATTCCTCCATTTCTGAATCTCTGTGTAAGACTAAAGTAAAATATTTGGCTAATTTTCTTGAGGTCTAAAAGAGAAAACTAAGTTGTAGTTTAAAAAAAAATCTTTTTAGCATGCTTAGAGGTTTTGTTTATGTATTAGGGGCAATATAATGAGCTAAAACAGCCAGAAGATTTTAACTCATGTGGCACTGAGATTGTAGAAATTTTAATCACACTAAAATTACTTTTGATATAAAGAAGATATGCGATTTCCAAGAAGTCACTTCAAGCTAATGCTTGTGTAAGATATTCTAAATAAGCTGTTACAGACCTTCCTGGTGTTCTAAAATGAAATATTGTGGTGTATGGTCAATTATTCACTCTTTCCAGAACTGTAATGGTTTATTTTCTTGCTAATTCTCCTGTTTTTCTTCATCAGTGCTCGGGTCTGTCAGGGAGTGTGGAGATCCAGCAGCCAGCCGGTGAGGACCAACAGAGGAGAGAGAGACCTGAGGAAGATGGGGCGTATCGTCAGGAAAGCCTAACGAAGGGCAGAGACCGACACTGACCGATGCTTGCTGAAAACTAGAATGTCAGAATCCAGTTCACCTTACCTTTGATTTAAATGATCTCCGATCTCCAAAAGCTGTGCAGTTGGGCATTGAACTCTTCATTTCTGTGACAATTTCTTCATTTCTGTGTTACAAATCATTGGATATATTATTCAATATGATTTCTGTCTTGTGTCTTTTTTTCCAATGCTTTGAGAACATTATGGGAGGGCTAGACAGCCTCCCCTCTCATTGGGTTCTATTTTAATTTGTTAAAAGTCTTGCAAAAACTATTAATCTATTTATACTTTTTAGATATTTATCTATGTATCTATTTAATTCTTTCTTGAAATGTGCATACACATCAATGAATAAAGAAACAATTGCCATAAAAAGAATTACATCAATGAGGTGGGAGGGAGATAAATCAAATAAATCAATTTTCACCAGTGTGAGTAACCCATGGAAGTTGCATCTATTTCTCAGCTTAAAGTAATTAAACCCATTTATCAATTCAAAAGTCTAATATCATACAGATTCCGAACCTCTAAGAAAGTGGTTACACTTACACCTAAACGAAACACGTTAAACGAAAGCTATGACCCTGCTGAAAAAGCAAATGCCAGGATGCCTAGATCATTACATATTGCAAACTACCAAAATGATATTGATAGTGTAAGGAAATGAACACAAGACCATGAGCAATTATAGTCATAGTGTAATGACAATAAAAAAGGAGACATTTCTTTGTGGCTGTCAAGAGTCAGGACTGGTATAAGCAGCCAAATTTGTCTAGATTTAATGGTCAGCTCTCAATGTCAGTTTGAGTTTGAAACCAATACAAAAAGCCAAAGAACACTGAAAACTGTTCTTGATAACAATAATTTGGCAATTAGGCCATACACTAGATGTCTAAAATTCTGGCTTGCCACTCGGACTGCAATAAAATCTCTGAAATCAAAACACAAGCTCAGGAAGTTAGATGATACAGCCTCTATTGTTCTGTTCACATATAGACATGATTAAATGGAAAGATTTTCATTCTTGGTGCTCTGGTACAATTGTTTAAAAGGAGAGGTTGATAACTCAAGATGTTTTCATGTGAGACCAAAACTAAGTGAATAGACACACCCACTCAAGTAATGTATCTCTCCTTTATATCTAGATAATTATCTTTTTCTTAAAGGGTTGGCAATCCTAAATATAACAGGTGCATGAAAGATACAGCAAGAAATATGCGAAGGAATGTGGATGATCAAGTAGCTTTGAATGAGACTGTCGGTCAAGTATTTAGCGGTGACGTAAGCAAGGTTTTGATTTGGCTCTCAGTTTCAAAACTGAAAGAAAGATCACTGAGATTAAAAAAATAAATGTTAATGGGGTTCGGGGGATGATATCCAGCACAAATTTTAATTTAGAATGAGGTGTATCAACAAACAGATGTGATCTTTTTTTGTGTAAGGAGAACTTTGCAGTAACCTTGGCCTTTATCTTTTTTAATTCCTGTATAACAGGGTGAGGAAGCACCAGCAAAGACGTGTCGCTGCTTTGTGAGTAGCGATCTGCGATGACAAATCATGATGAGAAGTGTATACAGGCGTTCGAAATTAAGTGTTGCTGTCAATCAGCATGAGAAGGGCACTCTTTACAGTAACCAACATTATTCAGAAGTGGAAAGTGCACTTCAAACAGGTTTCGTGCTGCAGCTGGTTTGACAAGCTGAGCTAAAGGGTGTGCTTCATTCGTGACAAATTCGTGACAGATGAAACACACCTTGCCCTTCACATGGCAAAGGATGACACATTTGGATTTTACAGATTTTACAGATTTTACAGATTTCAGTGTCAGTCAACCTGAAATGTAAAACCTTCAATTCAAAATTGTGTGGTTCCCTTTTCACCTGATTCTGTTTCAGTCAAGGAGGACCTAAAGTAAAATAATGGAAAGATTTTCATCTTAATCACCACAGCACTGAACCTATGCTGAGACGAATAAAATAAAAAAAAAGATTTGTTGTGGCGATGAAAAATGTTCAAGGATGATCAGAAGTTGGTTTGTGAATTGTTCCGGAAGTTCTCAGACAAAATCCCTTTATTCAAAGCAGAAAAAGAACTTTCTAACTGAAGGTTGTTGTTTTTTTTTAATTCACTAAATACACCTAATGGCCCATGCCAGTATTGATTTACGATACAGCGTTTGTTTTTGTTTTTCTCTTTTTGACATCAGATGATGCTGTCAGCCAAGTTCAAAATGAATGCAATGGGTTAAATAAGCATTGGAAGATCACGTTGTCATGGTATATCAACATAAAATGAGTGTATCTTTTTAAAATCAAGGCTCCTGAAAGAAAAACAAAGATCTTACCCTTATGGGGTTTGTTACTTTTGGGGTCCCTGGTGGCCCTTCGTTACGTGTGTTCAGTACGCGACTAATCCTTTTTCTGTAGGAGTTGTTGAATTTCTGCCCCCCTGCCTGATCGGAGTACAGCTAATCTGACGGAAACTAAACATACAAGCAGCATCTTGTCTCTAATTGTGTTCAATGAGCTGCAAAACTGTCCGCTCAGCAAACAATCAGCAGTTACTATCAGCAGATGGCCTCTGCTGCTCAGGTGGGTGTTCAGTAATCAGTCTATCTGTCATGGGAGCTGATTGTTCACTCAGATGAGCGTTAGATTTGACGGATTGTCGGGAAATCAGTGACACACTGGAAATATTTAGGCCTAGGGAACGCTTTGATGCTTTGAGTATGATACCAGTCTAACATGTCTTTTACATGTCTCTGCTTTAGTTGTTTCTCCACTGTTAAGAGAGAGACTGTATCAACACTTTTTGTTCTCAATTTGCTGGCTTTAGTAATTGTATTCAAACGAAAACAACACTGTATAAAGTGAAAACTAATTAGGTTCCAAAAGCCACACCTACAGCTTCAGAGAGCCAATAAACTGTCATATAGTCCGTACCTAATGTGACGTGTGTGTATGTCATCAACACAACTGTTTACATTCTTAGCACCACTGGTTCAGGATCGTCAGTCAAGGAACTGTCCCTACAAGAAGACACCGGAAGCCTTCTGTCACACAGTAAGTCCAAATACATGATGGTATATTTGATTTTACTTTACTCAACCAACTACAGTTCTTTCCACTTTGATTGTTGACTCTTTAGTGAACTGATGCTGTATAAGCTATTTGAACAGATCAGCAGTGTAAACAAGAACAAGTTTGAAAGTTTTTAACTTTCTTTAGACGTTTAAATTGCAGTGGATTGAACAAGTTAAATGAAAATGCAGGACTAAGGCAAGAAATTTGCTGTAAGTAAAGTAAATATGCTTTATGTATGTATGTGATGTGTGTTGGTGTCAAAATACCATGTTGATACCACAAATAAACAACTAAATATGGGACAAAAAAAATAGAAATATGGTAAAAGTTACTGGTAACTTGGACTATTATCAGTGATGCTGTCTGGAAAAAAAAATTGGTTTACCTTACTAATGACTAATAACTAGCTCAACACAAGTTGTGACATCACACTACAAAACTAACATAAAGATGGAGAGTTAAGTTTTGCAGACCAGAAATGAAATGATAGTTAATACTTTTTAAATGCTGTAATTCTGAGAGAAAAGTGTCAAGTTTAGATAAGTGGTTCAAAAAGATATTAAAAGACACATCTCACAGAGGTAAGAACTGTGGTGATGAGGAGCAGAGATAAAACATAATGCACAAGTAACACTGTGGAGTTTTGCTGTCATTCAGAAACTGCTGGTGAACCTGTTCACCTGCTTTTGTGTTATAGAAAAGGAATGTTGTTTGACAGAGCAGCTTACAGGAATAAGGGACCACAAAGTTCCACATATGATGTTGATTTCCTGGAGTAATTTTTGAAAAGATAGTATTGATAGAAAGAAAGACAAGAAGCAAAGAATGAAACAAAACTAAAAAGGAAGTAAGGAAACCTGATCAGGTATAAAATAAGTAAGTGACCTCTCTCTTATTGCTGTTAGACCCTTCTCTTTGCAGGTGAACATGGCATCAGTATCAACGAGCGGCAGTCTAAACAAGGTTGTGCGTCAGCAGTACATGAACCTGGCTCAGGGCAAGAAGTGCCAGGTTACCTACATCTGGATCGACGGTACAGGAGAGGGACTCCGGAACAAGACAAGAACTCTGGACCTAGAGCCAAAAAGCATAAATGGTACAATCCCTCCTTTTTTAATTACATTTTAGGTTGCACACCAAAGGGTTAAAAATAATTTTTTACATGTCTTTAAGGATCTGAGATTCTGTCTTTAATTTTCTTTCGTAAAAGTCAGAAAATTATTATAGTAAAAGTAGCAATCTTTTGAACCACTATGTCCTAGTCCTGGCCAGCCTGTTTTAGCTGTCCCTCTGCAAAACTCCTCATTCACTTAATGGATCAACTTACCAGATTTCTTTTCAAAAGTTCTACTGTCCCATTTCCAAATTCGCACACCTTCTGTTACACTTGGTTATGGGGATCTATTTAATGCTTTAAAATGAAAAAGTTAGAAACAAAAACTTTATAGTTATCATATGGTGATCACAGATACAGCTCAAATACTATATTTATGCTCATGGACACAATATTTATCATTTACATGGAGTCAGCCTAAACTGAAGCTGATCTGAATGTGTCTGCATTAACAGACAGATGGATAAAAGATGATCCAGTTTACATGGATATCTTAAATTAATTAAAGAAGACAGTTGCTATATAAATTGTTTGTACAGATACCTGCTATGATGTGGAAATACATGGATATCTTTAATTAATTAAAGAAGACAGTTGCTAAATAACAAGTTTGTACAGACACCTGCTATGATGTGGAAATACATGGATATCTTTAATTAATTAAAGAAGACAGTTGCTAAATAACATGTCTGAACAGACACCTGCTAAGATGTGGAAATACTCAAATACATAATTTCTCTCTGCCAGTTTTTTGGCTGATACATGACAGGACTAAAAAGTTGGTTAAATTAATCATTGGGTCTGACCCAACAATTTATTCAATCATTTGGATGGAAGTACTTGTTGCTAATCGTGCATACTTCACCCTCATTTGGGCACATTTCAGGAATTGAAACATCCTGTAGAAGTATTTTGTGAAACATTTAATTTATTTTACTTACCTTGTCATTGCTTTGAACCATGTGATCCTTTAAGATAAATGATTTTTTAATTCAAATTTGATCTAAGAGGCATAACCTCTGATATAGTGAACAGTGGGAGGCTGAGACATTAAATCCACGGATTAAATCTTGATTGCACGGGGAAAGTTATTATTACATTTGAACATACATGGGATGTTTTCAAACACCCACTAAATACTCATGCACATGCACACACACACAATTGTACATATCCAGTTTTGACCTCGGAAGAGAAACTTCAATGCTTTTCTTGTCGATCGTTTTCATTTTCTACAGATATACCAGAGTGGAACTTCGATGGGTCAAGCACATACCAGGCCGAGGGCTCCAACAGCGACATGTACCTAATTCCAGTTTCCATGTTCAGAGATCCTTTTACGCTCGACCCTAACAAACTGGTTCTCTGCGAGGTCCTCAAATACAACCGCTTACCCGCTGGTATTTTTTATTTTTTTCACTTTCTGTTCACATTCTGCTGCACAGATCCTGATCAGAAAGGTCTGAAAAGACAAGCTGTAATGTCTTTGGCTTCTGCTCTTCAGAAACCAACCATCGAGCGAGGTGCAACAAGGTGATGGAGGAGGTCAGAGACGAATGCGTGTGGTTTGGTATGGAGCAGGAGTACACGCTGCTGGGAGTAGATGGATACCCTTTTAGCTGGCCTTCGAATGGCTACCCAGCCCCCCAAGGTGAACAAATTGTTTTTGCAGTTGAAACAGAACCTCAGAAATCTGTAATCAGTTATCTGAGTTTCTGTCTGCAGAACATTATCAATTAACAAATCAAGAACCTCTTTAGTTAAGACCCCTCACTTTGCACACTGACTCTGACCTGAGCTTCCTGTTGTGAAAACAAAATCATGTTTGCACAGATTTAACATGTACTCGGTCTTGAAAGATTTCTGTTTTGGCTTCCTATTAAGGTCCCTATTACTGTGGAGTGGGTGCAGACAATGCATATGGAAGGGATATTGTGGAGTGCCACTACAAGGCTTGCCTCTATGCTGGGGTTGAGATCTGTGGCACCAATGCTGAAGTCATGCCATCTCAGGTAATGTCCCGTCTCTGCACAGTGGATAGAAGTACCCCTTCGTTTTCTTTTATCATGGGATCAGACTGATCAGTGTTATTCTCATGGCGTGTGACATTATGCCTTCACTCATTTCAGTGGGAGTTCCAGGTGGGCCCATGCGAAGGCATTGAGATGGGCGACCATCTGTGGGTGGCACGCTTCCTGCTCCATCGTGTGTGTGAAGATTTTGGAGTGGTGGCAACACTCAACCCCAAACCAATGACAGGCAGCTGGAATGGTGCTGGTTGTCACACCAATGTCAGCACCAGGCGCATGAGGGAAGAAGAAGGGCTGCAGTGAGTGAAAGTTCATTTTCAAATTGAATATATAAAATGCATTTTAATTGTATTCAGTTTTACATTTCTTACTTTTAAACAAGTAGGAAAGAATTTATTCCGGCCACTCCTCGACATCTTAATGATGGAGCCAACTCTTTACCTTCCGGTGACAGGTACATTGAGCAGGCCATTGAGAAACTTAAGGGAAAACACAAAGAGCACATTAAAGTGTACGACCCCCATGGAGGCGAGGACAACAAGAGGCGTCTTATTGGTCAATGTGAAACCTCAAGCATTGATGACTTCTCTGCCGGAGTAGCTAATCGAGGAGCCAGCATCCGCATTCCGCGGCAGGTGGGCCAGGAAAGGAAAGGCTACTTTGAGGACCGCCGCCCCGCCGCAAACTGTGACCCATACCAGGTGACAAGGGCTATCGCAAGTACCTGCTTGCTGGACACAGACCAGGATGATGGGGATGAGTAGATTAAAAGCAAGTCTTCTGTTGGCATGGAAAGATTATTGTTCCGATAGAAAAATAGCCTCCATGGTGGTGGTTAACATTTCTTAGTTAAAATACAGAAATACAGAAAAGTCATCCAAAATCCCTCAAAATGGTTACAAGGAGCTACAAAACAATAACAAATAGGACCAAATAGTCCAAAGAGGAATCCAAACTGAAGTGGTCATGACACAATCTATGACCACTTCAGTTTGGACCACCGAAATTATCTTTCGACCACCAACAGGTCAGGGACCTGTTATCTCATCAGACTTCCATGTCATCAGTTAACTTGTGCGCAGAATTACAGAAGCATTTTTCTGTATAATTAATACTTGTGAATCTGTCCATGTGCACAACAAGCTAACTTACATAAAATAGTCCTCAGAAAAAGTTTAAAATTAGTTTCATGAATAGTCAAGCATTGCCAGACTTTTGAATATCAATGTTGTTGTCATTTATTTATATAAGCTCAACTGCATTATTGATTTATTACAAATACAAAAAATACACTGTCAATAACTATGAAATGTGGAATGTGTTATATGTCTGCTATTGTTTACAGGAATTTGCATAGAATAAAATAAAGCATACAATAAATTGACATTGTAAAATGACCACATTTACATAACTGTCTTTTGATCCAAAGGGGTCCATGCATTAAAGGGATGAGCCATTGAGATATAAATTCTCTTCTTGCAAAGTCTTGGTCAAAGCAGTTTTAGACAAACAAAAACAGTTTTAGATACATTGAAAAAGAAACAACTACAAAAAATAGTGAATAGTGAAAAATAGTTTAGTGCTGCTAAACTATGAAATGAAATTGGGGCACAGCAGTTAAAACCATCTAATATTTTCAATTATGATCTAGGTGAAGCACAAAAAAAATATTTGTAGGGAAGATTATATGTTTTCTTTCATCCAAAATTTAAAATGTAGATATTTTTAAAAGGTCAGAGTAATTTGGGCTTCAGGTAGTTGCCTTACATGTTTTTGATAATCCTGAGACACAGCTTCCAAGCTTTAGATAACATCTATTTACTTTGGATGAAAAATATATTGTGAAAACACTGGTCAAGCTTTTTTCAAATACACAACTGATTTTTTCATTTTTGGGGGGTTACTTAAAATTAGGGCTGCATGGTGTCACCTCACATTAAGAGGGTTCCAGGTTTGATTCAAGGCTGGGGGCCTCTCTTCATGTAGTTTATATGTTGTCCTTGTGTATAAAAAGGCCTCTATCTGGCTTCCTCCAACTGTCCAAAAGCATCCATGTTAGATTAATTAATAACTCTTAAATTTAAAGTGTGCCTGTCTATCTTGTTCATCTCTGTGTGGCCTTGCTAAGAACTAGTTTCTTGCCCAACGACAGTTGAGTTGCCAGGATGAAGCAGTACAGAAAACGAATGTTTGGATTTGCTGCGGAAGCCACAGTGGGCCACAAATTTAATCATTTTGCCTACTGTATTCAAACTATAAACTGAATCTAAGGAAAGCGCTATTTATTTTATGTTGTTACTGCAGCAATGATGTCATTTTGGTTCAAATCCCACGAGAGAGAGCAATTGCCTGTGCAGATTTCAATTGCCTGTGCAGATTTCAATTGCCTGAAACCGATGTAAATGGTTCACTTCACCACCAGGTGGAGCTATTGGACTGATCAATGATTCATTTCACTTACCATGACCCTATTTTAATAGGATAAAAAAGTTTAATCTATTCCTCAGAGGCTAATGTATCCCCAAAGATTCATACAAAGCCATGATATGTCTTAAGATGGCAAATCATTTTAAATTGTACAAATAGAGATTACTTTGTAAGATGCTTAAAGATAAGAACAGAAGTGAATGGAATAATCTGAGCTTCATATCCACAGTACTGGCAGAGATCCATGTCATGATGCATGTTATTTCTGGCATGTGGCATCCATGTCCCATACTGACATGACATACGTTCCTCTGAGCTCTGAGACCATAAGTGCTGTTTTGAGCTGTTTAAGGGGAGTACACACATCCAGCAGATAACAGAGAAAATGAAGACTCAATCGGGTCTCCTTCACTACCAGATTTCCATGGATACAGAAAGTCACTTGGCAACAGCGGTGTTTGTCTGTTGTCACGGTAACGCGTGTAATTTACCCAAAATATTATCAGCCTGATCACATGGTAAAGCAGAGTAAAAGAAAGAAGAATATTTGTTTCTGTATATTTCGTTCAACATTTGTGTATTATTTAAGTCAATACATCAGTACCATCTTACTGTTACGACACAATCAAAGGCATTCTTTTGAGCATTTTATTCACATCTGCAAGCATCAGTGGTACCTGTACAGCTTCTGCTTCAACTTTAAAACAGGAAATACATTCAGAGACGGGAAGCACCTTCACAGACAGGATGTATGCAAATGGGAAGGGTTTCAAAAAAACACTTTTAAGTCTGCTGAGAAAAAGAGGATTAAAGGGGTGCTATGACTCTACGACGCAAAGAGATGTGAACAATTATTCAATAATGAAAGTTTGTGAAAGGGACAAACAGGGAAACTGATATCTGAACATGCTTGTTTGCATAATTTTAACCCTTGTAAGATTTATCTTTAACAAACTGTGAGGTTCATAGTGAGGACTGTACATAAAGTTGTACATGTTTTTATGTCTTGTGCATCTAATGCTATAAAACCCAGTTTTATCATTGTTGGCTTGACAAAACATTTCAAAGACCTTGTATTTTCTTTCTCTTTTGTTGCTGTTTTTGTGTCCTCTTAGTTGTACGGAATCAGAATATTTATTACAAGTGAGCTCTGTTAGTTGTTACGCAGAACTAGGATAACATAAGAATGAGCTTTCGCCTTCTACAAGCAATCGACTTTCAAGTATATAAAGAACTTCAGCATCAGCTTGTTCATTTATATGACACTAAATTTTATTTGCTGAGTTATGGTAAGTTTGTGCCTCATGCAAAAGTGGAAACAAATTGAACCTACTGTGACATGTACGAAAACTAAGTTGCCTAACGTCAAATCTTTTTTCCACCTTTTGTATAGCTGTTAGTTTAAACAGCTGTTAGAAATTCTCCTTGATTCTTTAAGCCTAGAGTACTCATATAGCTGAACTGAGTAAAAGCTACAGTTAGAATTTGACATGTCCATTTGACTGGATCAGCATTCTAATCCCATCATAAAAGCACAGAAGCTGAATTAGTTTATTTGGTTAACCTTGATCAAAGCTGTTTGATGCTGTGATTAAGTGCTATGTGAGACAAATGTTCAAGATCTGCTGCCAATAACTTCTTCCCTGGGGGGAATCATGGCATATATATGTTTCAGGCAAGAAAACACATCAGAATCCATCACGGTTACTGATGCGTTTTCCTGCCTGAAAGCAATTCAAACGGAAATCGTGTAAAAAAGAAAGTCATTTGACTGTCTTATACACCATGTGAGTATAGTTGTGAATATACAAGTGAGTAATTCAGACGCCAGTGTTGTGATAATGCGGATGTCTTAATCGGGTTTTGAGAAGTTTTGGTCAGACCAAGATTTGCTCACAATTAAAGTAGTCCAGATACAGCCTTCAGAAAAGGGCTGGCTAATATGCTCCACATTTATATTTTTACTTAGTGTTTATGCAAATCACCTTGAGAACAGTGAGACAGAACGTATGAGCATGAACAGTTCAGGTTTAAAAAAAAAAATCTATTTTAAGTTTAAACAGCAAGAAAACAGTATCTATAGGTCTGATACACATACATCATTTTTTAAACTTTTGTTTTCTATCTATTGTTCTGCATGACACACTTGTAATAAATAATGTGTATATACACATTTGTAAAAGCTGAATTTTAGAATATTTGGCCCTCCACAATGGACACTGAGCATCTGTAATCCGTGGCATAATTTTCAATGGTCAACGTGACGTCACAGGTCGCTATAGCTGGGAGAGAGAGGAGGAAGAGGAGGAGGTAGAGGAGGAGGTGGAGGAGGAGGAGGAGGAGGAAGAGGAGGGTGGGCTCGCGGCAGCAGGTGAGAGCGCAGCAGCACAGACGCAGAGCGGCGGAGAAGAGGAGAGCGGAAAGGAGCCATGGGAAAGCTACAAGCGTTTGAAATCACTTTTACCAACAACAAGGTGGTCTACGGTCCGGGAGAGTCTATAAGCGGAACTGTGAAGATACGAACCGGCAACTCACTGCAGTATAAAGGTAAAAAGCCTCCCCTCGTCAGTTTTTTTAAGAAAGCAAGCGGAACAGTTGTGTGTGCCCGCGTGTCTTCCACCACCTTGTTCAACCGAGCGCGCGTGGGGGCTTGGTATAAACAAACTTTTGCCTAGAGATGGTGGTGGACGTGGGGAATAATAAAGGACGGTCAAACAACCTGTTTTCCATGTTCTAGCTCATTTGACGGGTAGTCTTGTGTTTAATTAGTTTTTGTTTTGTTCTGTTTGTTTGTTTGGTTGTTTTGTTTTGATAGTTTTTTGGTGGGTTTTGGCTTTATCGGTACGTTTTGTGGTGGCGTTGCTTTAGGAGTGGATGTGCACAAAAAAACGACGGCGCTGGCTGTATCCTTGCGCCGTTTTGGCTAGTTGATGGCAGCCGTTTAAAGCCCACATCCTGGACCGTAACGTTGCTTCCTCGTATTGTTCAAATGATCAGAAATATCCAAAAGCAGAAAAACAGGTATTGTACTACACGTTCACGTCTTCATAGATTATACTAATATTACAACACATCATTCTACAAGGCAGTTTCCGGCTCTGAATGCCAATTTGTAATGTGAACTCGTCCTAATAGTTAGGCAACAAACAGGGGGGAAAGTAGGTGGAGGACAGCTTGTGAAGTAAACAAAGGGTCCATTGTATGTAGGTGATTCTAAATAAGGGCAGCTATCTCTTACTGAGCCACCTCTTCAGTGGGAATCTGGGACTGTGGAATGATAATTGACAGGGAGCTCCTGTAGAGTCCAATGAGGGGAGGTAAGGTAAGAGAACTAAGTAGCTCTCCCTTTCATTCATTGTGTTAAGGCTGTGTGATGTGAGTACAAAGCCTATATTTACACATGGCAGAAAGTTTTTGCCAAGCCACAATGCTTTGCTTATGTGTCTGTCATAGCTGACCTAAACCAGAAGGTCAGAGATGATACTGCAACGCTCCTCTACCTTCACTTGTACCAGGGTCACACAGAGACAAACAACCACACACACACACTCGCATTCACTCCTAGGGGCAATTTGGAGTGTCCAGTTAACCTAGCATGCATGTTTTTGGGTGGTGGGAGGAAGACAGAGTACTCAGAGAGAACCCACCCAGGGCTTGTTATTGCTAAATGAACCCAGGCTAATGTGGCTGCTGTGAGCAGACGAAGCCGACAAGCTTTCTTTGGTTGAACAGTCATTTGTTGCAGATATTTAGATGAGACTCGCTTAAGCTTTTGGAGCAAGAGTATATATGTATCTGTTTGTTGGTATGTTTGATTTGTGATTAGTCTGAAATCAGATTTCATACTTCTGTCGAAGTGTGAGACCACAGCCTGTCTCTAAGCCATCTGCTCCTGCACAGTGTTCGCTTTTGTGTCTTTTTTTTTTCTTTACTTTGAAAATGAACTAATAAAGAAAAACGAAAATTATAATGATGAAGTATTTGACATGCCTAAATCCGTTAATGGTATCTATGATTATAGAACGACAGAAACCTTCTTAAGGTGTAATCTCTCTACACACCTCATTCTATTGTCTTTAAAGAAACAGATTAATTTAGTCCGTCCTTTGCAATGTAATGTAATGTGTATTCAGTGGAACGCTGCTGTCAACGTGTCAGGAGGCTTTTGTTTGTTTGGGTGAATCTGAAGCTTGAGTCTGTTATGCACATGTTTGCTGAGTCTCTGTTAGCAAAAGCGCTCCATCTGAAGACAGTTGGGCTTTTACCTCGACTATTGTAAGTTCCAAGTTAGCACTATCTTTGTCCTCTGACATCACCCACCTCGGCTTCAGCCACCAATTTTCCATGAACCTGGCTGCTTGGATCATGCAGAAGCAGGGGAATGCATGCTTGTCTGCTTTCTTTGTCCACTTACAGGTGAGAGAACTAGAGACTTGGGAAAGTCTGTCTCAGACAATGGCTCATATTGACAATATTCTGACTCTTTCCTCATACTTTACATAGATGGCCAACAACAGTGGTGCAGGTTTAGATTAGAAATGACATTGAAGCTAGTTGTTTTTTTTTTGTATGCTCTAGTTATTGAAGGATAATGGGTATTTATACACATGAAGAGCTACAAAACTTGCTGTACTGTTTATTTATGCAAAGTGGAAACCCATTTTTATTTGAAATTGCATGGGATTGCTGTATTTTTAGATTAATGTTCATCTGCAGCATTTTTGTAAAGCCTAATCGAGACGGAATCTGTCCCCAGAGATTTTTCAGTCAAGTCCCAAATGAGAGTGCACATCCAAATTATCTTATCAGATCATATTGTTATAATTGGTAAAAAAAAAAAAAGAACTTGACAGATATGTCTTTGACAGGGGATGTTTGAGTTATTGGTTTGTAAAGGTATGATAAAATACATTCACAGAAAATAAAAAAAGTAACTGTAAGTTTTCCCAGAACTTAAGTGCTGAAAGTTGCTGAGGCTGCACTGTGATCTTGACTACATTATTGATGCCGAAGACCATTAGACTACATTTCTATTGATTAGCACCTTTAGAAAAAACAGTCGAAGCAAAAGCAAGAATGTGTGAATGAAAGCAAACACTATTACTTGGGCTATGCTGCAGCTTTTACCCTGCACGCTGGTAAATGATAGGCTTTTGTGAAAATGAAATATGGTTTGACCTGGTCATGAAATTAGGTAATTTAATCTCTGTTGAATTATGATGCTTGACATATTACACTGTGTCATTAATTATGAATTGAAAACCGAACCAAAATGTTAGGACATTGTTTGAAGACCTATTGTTAATGTAAATTAAAAGAGGGAAGTAGCAGTTGGGTGCTGCTAATAATTGATAAACTGATCATTAGATAGTGAATGTGAGGCAGACGTTTCTTCGGTTTGTTGGTCAGAAATATTTGGGTGTGTGTTAAGACAATGCCAAGGAGAACCTACATTATTTTGATCCTAGACACAGAATTGTTGCTGTCCATTGATCTAATAACATGAATAATGCCATCTGAAAAACGATTTTGAGTATGAACATGACATGAAAACTAGCTAAAGTGCACCTGAACAGACCACCCAACTTCTGGAACAATGTTTTTCTTTGGAGATATGACACCATTGTGGAAATATTTAATCATAACAACAGCATATCAGCACAAACACCTCATGCCAACTGTCATCATGGCATTTGAGGGCTGGTGATTAGGCAAATATTCTCAAGTCAGTAGGTGCTACAAGGAATGGTTCAATCAACGTTCAGACCTCAACCAGAAGAAAAAGCGGTGTTGGGTTATTTACAAAGTCTGCAGTAGCCATGATGAGCCTCACTTAACCAGAATAGCTCCACAATGATGTGAGAGTCTGATCACATCGAGCAGAATGGGATTACTTCACATCATTACTACTAAAAAAATGTCTCTACAAGCTGATGGACCATTGGTCATCTTTGTTTTTCACGCTTTGTATCTGCAGTATGGGTTGTGTTTTTGTTAAGTTAATAAAGACATGATGTCATGTGTCATGTCTCGTTGGTTTGAAGAGCTGGCAAGAACCAGACGAGCAATGTTTTTTGCAGACATACGATAACAGTTGCTTCCTCCTTCACTGTTAAAATGCAATCAACAACACGTTTACATTTTTTTGAAGGAGTGGAAGCTCTTCACGTCTTAAAAGTTTAACTGTGTGATTGAAATGTGAAATAGTCGTTCCGAATACTTATTACCTGAATGAAAAGAGAAAGAGGATTGTGTTGGTCGACGTTCTATAGCAAATTGAAATTCTAAAGCTTTTGTTTCAGTGCTGCTTCTCTAAACACACGTGTCAGATGGCAAGCTACAGAAAAGGGAAGTAGTGTAAAAAACTTTGGTGGTATTATTTCCTGAATTGGCAAAATGTTTTTAGCTATAGAACTAAATACGAGCGCAAATTTGTAAGATCTGTTTTAAAACAGAGAATGAGAAGAGATGCCACTCGGTGAGAATCAGGCGATTCATCGTTGTGGTCTGATGAGTTATAGATATGAGGTGTAGGGCAGAGCCAGCCTGTCTGTACAGCCCTCCTCCCAGTCTGTACACCAGCCTCTACATGTGTGTGCAGTCAGCTGATACATGAGATGGTTATGTTTTGCCTCAGTGTCTCTACTCGTATGGATATTTTTTTCATGTGGAACACTTGCTGTTGACAACTTAAGTCAGCCTCCAACACAGATCTTTTGACCCTCTGGAGAGGCACCTGGACAACAGTGAGATTGTCACTACCCATGAAAGTCATATTTATCTCTTCAGCCTTTTCACTGTACACCTCAATGGACTCTCACAAGAAGCTTCTCAGATGACAGTAGTAGACTCTCAGGCATCTGTGAGCACAGCAGATACATTCAGTATCACAAATCCGCTTTTTTTCTGCATGAACAGACACGCACATACTCACACACGTTTTCTTTTTCTCTTTTGTAACTAATGGGTATTGACTTCGCCCGCTTTTTTTGCACGATCGGCGAGATTTCTTCACCATGCATCTGTCCTTCATTCTCGGGGCCACTTTGATTTGGAGCAGTTTGTTTTCCTCCATGAACGAAGATTTAGTGGCCATATTTGTTTTATCCTGGACAAGCCCTCACATGTTCACTAGGCAGTAAACAGTTCAGTGAAGAATTTATTAAGAGCAACTCTATGTATGGGTAGCTACCCGGTGTGTGATGAACACTCAGTTGGTGTTGGTTCTTGTGAATGACTCTGAAAAGATCCAGGAAACATTCACAGGTGTGTGTCCCGACCCCTTCTCTTGTTCTCCCACTCCCCTTCCCTCATCCTCGGAATACTAAGGAGGAGAATTTGATACCCAAAGTTGTGTGACAAACAGCATGAGCAAAAAGCAACAGCCCCACGTTTAAAGTCTGTTGAAATCCGTTCAGGGCTGAGGGCAGCCTTCCAGGAGTGCTTTAAGATAAACTTTATTGATCCCGTGAGGGACACTTAGTCTCAGTACCAGTCCAAATCCATTCTATAGCAAGGTTTGTTAGGCTTGGGAGGTTTGGTTTGACTACAGGGGTTGTGGTCTTGAATCTAACTGAGAAAGCATGAGTAATTAGACATTATGCTTCCGTAGTTATACAACTGGCACTGTCACTGCGACCTCAGCTAGGTCATTGCTGCCATTAACTGTGCCTTTATTGCTCGTCTATGGCTGTCTTTAGCTTTGAAAGCATTATCCCTACAGGCCTCATGTATAGGAATCACACAGTTGCAGGTTTTCTATAGTGTTCTTCCTTGCTTTGATGGACGGCCGCCGCACAGTTTATTATGGTTTTTTTAAAAGTATTTCTTATAAAAGACATAGTTTACGAATGTCAGCCCAAGAAAAGGGGTTTTAATCCTCTTGACTTCACCATCTTTTGTCTTTAGTTGAAATATGTGGCAAATGATTAAACAGTGAGAACCAGTGAGTCAGAATCACTCTATTCTCCCGGCTGCCTTTCAGTGGGGCTGAGTGACACCGATCCACTTGAACTTTATCAGTTTCGTTTTTGTGCCCATTGAAGGGGCGTTTTCAGCTGCTCGTCTCAGCCCCACCTGATTTTCTTCCTCTACGATTGAGTCAAGTTAATTATATCTGTCCTTTGACCTCCATGACTAAAGTGGTGCCTGACAAGACAGACAATAATTTTTTGTCTTTATTTTAGGGCTGTTGAAAGAGGATTCTCTTATCATTTCCCTCCAAAAAGCACAGATGTGCCCCTTATCACGTCCTCTGTTGAAAGCACGGTTCCACTTCCTGTACTGCAAAATGAAAAGTCATGCAGAAAATACCATTCCTCAGCTGAAATGGAACAAAATGTTCATTAGTGGTGGAGGAGAGACTAAAAATAGAAAATCCGTCAGCTGGTTGATAAGAAGATGGTTTATGGCATGTTAACCTGAGGTAGATGTTGTGTAACTGGGTAATGACGATTCACTGAACAAACTGTGTGAGGGCGAAAAAAACCTCAACAGGTAACCGTTTTTCAGTCTCAGTTTCAGTTTTAGTCAGCTGTTGTCATTCTTGATCATTGAAAGACTGACAAAGATGATATCCATCTACTAAAGAAGCTAAACACTGGGCTAACCTTTTGTTGTTACTGTTCCCAAGGGGCAAAGCGGAATCATTGGTATCAGCATCTCTAAAGAACAATTGGATGCTTGAGCAATATTACATGATTTATGTGTGCACTAAAGGCACAGAAACAGTTAAACAAATGTTTTCTGAAATACGAGTGTTGAGATTGGGGTGGGTGTGCTGGCCGAAACAATATGCGTTCTCATTAATTTTATGTAGGTTACAGTCTGCTCGGTCGAGGGAAAGTTGGTTTGTCACAACTTACCCAAATGAAAGAAGAGAGGTATGGGAGCTGTTCTGACATGGCTGCGTTAGAAGCCCCCAGGGATGCTGCTTCTGTTTTGATACCAGAATAACAGACCAGAAATGTAAGGTTTTGTTAGGAGGGAATATCTCTATTAATATTAACTGTATTCAGACCCCATTGCCAGTCAGCATTTCTCTGGGAGTAATTAAACATTATATGGGATTTTATGTTATAAGAGCTTATGACATTGGATCACAATTATAAGAAGCTCCTCAGCTAAATGAGATCAAGTCAGCCAAGGGCAGAGTGACTATTACAAGGAAGTTGTCACAGCAAGTATGATGGTCTCCCCTGACTTATCAGTCAGGATAATCAGAATTAGAGAGGCAATACTTACACACCTAAAAAGCCCATTTCAGTGAAGGAGAAACAAAATATTAATACAAAATGTGCTAATTTCCTTTTTGGAAGTCATGAAAAAGTTGCAGAATGCATTTCCAACTTTGAAAGCTGTTCATTGTTGGCTGAAGAAAGCAGGATTTGCATTAATTAAATGAAGTTACATACCGAACCTTAATTAACAGACTAAAGTGAAAAAGTTGGTATCACTCATTTTTTTAAACCTCACTCGGACGCACACACCCCTGTTTTCAGTCTTACATTTACCCTCTTTGACAATAGGATTCCAAAAGAATCTGTATTTGTACTGTATTGAAAATAGTTTTTAGTTGAAAAGCATGAAAGATCCATAGTGCTGCAACCTTGATTTGAGCCTTAAGAGGTTCAGTGTGGGAAATAGATGCCATTACTGGTGATACAGAAACGGATATGACAGAGTACAGAATTTGCATCTAGTGGTTTCATAATGTAAATGCTGCAGGGTAAGCCTCTTACACAAGCATCCTCCGCCAAACCTGAAAACATGCTAATGCAAATGTAATAAAGGGATCGGTCATGTTACAGTGTGCTCCAAACTGTGTGCTTGTGTTACTTTGATTCTCTCTGGAGCAGCTCATGAGGCAGCCTTTCTGTTTGGAGCTAGTGGCTGAGGATGTGTCTGAACAAACAGAGCGGAGGGGATTCCCTTACAGCTGGGAGTGATGGGTCACAAGATCAGGCCGCTCTGTTTGACATGTTTCTGTGAAAGGCATCAGCCAGGAGGGATGCAGGGAAAGTGAGAGGGGCTAATTGTTTGAGGCGCTTTAAGATTTAATGACGGTAGTAAGAGTAGGCTCGAGTTACTGGGCCGTGGTATACAAAGACTTGAACTTTGGGGCTTTTAAAGAAGAGGAGGTTATGCAAGGTGTTCCAGATAAGACTGCGTCCGGGCATCTTATTGTCTAACGCTGCCATTCTGAACCAAATAAACCTGTGTATCGGGTAAGGAAAGCATAGCAGAGCTATAACATTTGTACCGAATAGTCCCTTCTTATCATGCAAACATCGTGATGGGGGCAGCCATGCTTCATTATCCTGGAATGTATGAATGACGTCCAGTGAGCTCCTTAGTGCATGTGAGGAATGTCAGTCAGTTCATATAATTCAGAATCTCCTGATGCGCTTTGAGATTAAACCGTAGTTGCCCCCCCCCCCCCCCCCCCCCCCCCCCCCCCCCCCCTTTCTCCTCGCCCGCCCCCCTCCCCTTCTTTGTTTTTTTTTTTTTTTTTTTTTCTTTCTTTTTTCT